TTATTCATTGCATCCTTTCTCCTCACTCTGCCTGACTGTACTTGGCCTTGGGGAACTGTTTTTTGATTACCAGCTGTTGTTTTGAGCATTTCCGCATCACTATGGTTCAGTACACATTGGCTGTGACTAAATGGATTCCCTCCGGTCTTGAGCAAGGCAGGTTCATGTTGGCTTGGTAAGTCCCAAGGCCAGTGACATTGTACAGCATTTCCATCCTCTCCATTGATTCTGATATTTTCTCCTTTATTGGACTTGTATGGAAGAACTGCAGCATTCAAATCTGTTAGCCTGTAAGGCCCATGTTTTTTCATAATGCAATAATAATAAAAGCAACCACCACACAGCTAACCAAATCAGCCATTGCATGTGGCTGTCACATGTTCAGACTTTTTCCCTCTTTCATGACTGGAACAATATGATTTGTGGTAGGTAGTTGAGGAAACCTAAGAATGTGGCCTGTGGGTTCTGTGAATAAAAATAACATCCTAATAAGATAGTTGTAGGTGCAGGAACATTCATTGATGTCATGAAAACTTAGTGAATGCTGGTAGAGAATTATCAGGGCCAAGCGCATGACTGTTTAGATAAACAAGGACTGAGAGGTTGATCCAGCTCACTGGGATGGTTCTGCCTCCTGAACTGGCCGGGCTGGGCTTGGTTCCAGAGTGTAAGTTGGATTTAGGTCTGTTCCATGTCCCTTTGTTCTGGAAACCAGGTGGAAGGGATATTGGATCCCTGGGATCCAGGCATCCAGCCCTGGGTGTCTGGAAGGCCAGGGCAAAATGTGCAAGTACCCTTTAGGCCCCTTTTTGCATCATGGAATCTCGTAGATTCCATGGGCTGAGGAAAAGCTCATGGTCTAGTTCAGCCTTCATGGTGCAAGTGTACTCTCTTCATAGGAACAGAACACCTGTCAGTGGGTGCTATAGCCTTGGAAATGATAAAGCAGACAGGAAAGTATTTCTCTTTTTCTTACCAGATTCAGATTATATGTAAAGAATAATGTTTGTCCTTGGACTTGTGTGTATCTGTATTTGCACTCACAGTCTGTATCTGGAGGGAGATTCAAAATCAGAGACCATCAACAGATGAAGGGATAGAGAGATTGTATAAATATGCATATATATGTACACATATATTTTTATCTGTCAATATCTGTACACATACATGCATATGTTCATATTTACATATTCATACCTCTATATATTTGTATAAATATAGGCAGGATATCCTTTTCAAGCCTGAATAGCATTCTTATATATAGAAAAACAGATAGGAATATATGTATATATACACACACACGTTCCTTATTAAAAAAAAATTTCCCATTTGCAACAACACAGATTAAGATGGAGGATATTATGCTGAGTGAAAAAAATTCAGACACAGAAAGAAAAGATACTGCATGGTCTCAGTCATGTGGAATTAAAAAAAAAGTCAGCTAGTGGCTTGAGCAGCTGGGTCCCTTCCACCCCTGTGGGAGACCTGGATTGAATTCCTAGCTGCTAACCTCAGCCATGGCCCAACACTGATCTCTGCTGGTGTTTGGGGAAGTAAACCAATAGATATAAATGCTCACTCCTCTCTCAGGTAAATAAGTTTTACAAAACTCGTATAGAAAGTAGATTGGGGTCAGGAGGAATGAGGGTGAGTGGGAGAGGATGTAGAGCAAAGTGTACCAGTCCCAGTGGATAGAAAGGCAAGATTCTGAAGTGGTGGGTGGGAAGTCTGGGGACAGAGGTGTGAAGCAGGAGGGAGAGGTTAAGTGGACCTTGGGACAGGAGGTTGGCAGTGGGCGCTGGGGTTTCTGATGATGGGTGCTCAGAAAGGGTGTCCTGTGTGGCTACTCTGCCCTGGCCTGTAAGCAAAGTCACGCCTAGTGAACTCCCTACAAATCTGCTCTCTCCCAACGACAAGTCCCTGTGGCTCCTTTTGTTACTTCTTTTTCAACCTTTAAGTGAAGGCTCAGTCAATACAATGTTAGCTGTTGCCAAGAACTCAAAATCTTGGGCCACAGTTGGAAAAGGAAACACAACCTGATTCAAGCTGATTTTTCCATTCACTTTCTTTCCTAAGTAGGAAGGAAGCTTTTCAATGGAAGTGTCCCACTTTTCCTTTTCACAGTCCTTCAGCAAAGCACAGCCGAAGAGGGAAGCCTGGTTTGAGTCAAAACATGAGCTTTTTCTTTTCTTTTTTTGACTTAATGAGAAACCATTTATTCTTCTGATTTATAAGCATATTTTTACATATTGTAGTTTATACATTAAGTGTATAACGTGAGAGTTCCCATAAGAATGCTAATACCACACATTAAACTCAGCTATACATTGTGTGAGGTTGTTAGACAATTTTCACATTTAATATCACAGCACATTCATATTACATTGTTTATTTAACAGGATCATGCTTTTCAAAAAATATTTTATTGGATGAAACTTTCTTATTCTCAGGAAAACTTTTGGTTCTTTAATATAATTTATTTTACCTTTTAAAATTCTTTTTGACAAAAGCCTTGTTACGTTATAAATACCTGTAAAGAAAAATATAGTTTAAAATTCCAAAGGAACTATTATATAAGTTTCCTGTTGCTTTTTCTTTTTTCACAAAAATCCACACAGGCACTAAGAAAGACTGACAAAAATATTTTATGTCTGGACAATAAGCTCCAGGTTGGAAACATTCAAACATGGTTTTGCGCAAATATTAAAGCTTCTCTAAGTATGAACCTTTGGCTGCACCCCATTGCGATGGCTGGGATTGTAACTGGGAAACGATGCCATTAGAAAGAACTATAAAGAGAGCTTCGTACATGTAGCACTAGATTAGGAATGGGAAAAGGATGAGTGTGAATTCCAACTCTCAGTTTTCAGGCTTTTTGACATGTTGCAGCATTGAAATGCTATCCAATCTTTCATATCACACAGGTGACACCTCTAAGGACAAAGTGATAGTGCAAGTCTTTTAGCAGAATGCTCTCTCCGTGCCATGGGTTTTGCTCTGTAAAGTCCAGTTCTGCAGAAATTGCGCAAGTGGTAGAACATGGGGTGAAAGTTTGTCTTACTGACAACACTTCAAGTGAGAGAAAGTGACAGATTCTAGTTGCGTCTGGAATCCTTTCCTTTGAATATTTCAATGCCATGAGTGGCCTTATGAAGTTCAAAGTTGACAGAAGAATTGCAAACAGCAGCTCAATGGGAGAAGCTTAGCACTGTGCATGACTGAAGACTTTGTAAGCATATTGTGAGAGGGAAGTCTGTAGGTTGACTGTGAATGAATTACTGTGAGTGCCAGGAGAGGTCAGATTAAATGACTATGCAAATGAGTTTCAGACATACTCTCAGAGTTTAAAATACTCTTTTCCTGCTGCCTGTTAATACAAACTAAATTAATAAGGTCATAGCTACTTTGGGCAGAGCTTGCTTAAAAGAAGCCCAGTGTGCTTTTTAACCCAAATTCATTTATGCTTTGTATACAGTTGTTCAGGGCAGAAATGAACAACATGAAGTGTCTATTGGAGGCCCCCCCAAGTAATGGATAAGGGGGTCACTGTGAGTGGCCACAGAGCAGGTGCCATGCAGAAGCTGAAGCTCAAGTCCAATCAGGCAGCAGCTACTCAGCTGAGCATTGGGTCTTACAGAGAATTTCATATATCCAATGTTCACCTATTCAAATCATTCTAGATACGGAGAAGTCAGGTCTTTGGGCTGCCAGTGTATGACTCCTGCGGCCTGGGAGTCATTCCATCACCATCTGGATATCATCAAACTGGAAGACATACCATCACAGTCTTGGGCGATAATAAGTTTGGTTTCAAAGACCTGGAACCACCTGTTCTGATGAGCATGCCTCAGAAAACAAAACAAAACCCACCTCCCGTTGGTTCTACCATCTAAATATTTTGCAGCTATTACAGTGATTCTCCATTTTATGAGTGGTTTATTATTGACTCTGAAAATTTACAACTAGGGCTTTTCTGAGTACCAAATGTAAGCCTGCTTGAGGGGAGGGAGGGAGAAATATAGAAAATCCTTTCCATAGTGAGTTTGCAGCTGAGAAAAGAGTTAGGTACAGAGGGCCCAACACGATAGCCTAGTGGTTATAGTCCTCGCCTTGCATGCACCAGGATCCCATATGGGCACCAGTTTCTTTCCACTCCCTGTTTGTGGCCTGGGAAAGCAGCTGAGGATGACCCAAAGCCTTGGGACGCTGCTTCCATGTGGGAGACTCAGAAGAAGCTGCTGGCTTTGGATCGGTTCAGCTCCAGCCATTGTGGCTATGTATTTCCTTCTCTGTGTATTTCTGCCTTTCCAATAAAATTTTTTGAAGTCTTTTTTTTTTAAAGAGTTGGGTACAGAAAACCTGTAGCAGAATGAAAAATAGAAGAATCCCAGGACACACAGTAGAGGCTTCCACCGTGACACACCCACCCAAGAACATTGTAGAACGACCATGTCCAGATAATGCAGGTTTTAAGATCTGTTTCTGCATCTAACCGGCCCAGCTTTCTCCCAGATGATCGGATTGCCTCTCCCACAATAGGTAGTGCTTGGGAATTAAAAGGCCTGAGGGATGAGTCTAATTGTAAACTCTTGCATTAGAAACTTTCTGAAACCTTACTTGCTTTTGAAATATAAAGAGTCACATAGCAAAGACACAGAATGAGCTATATAGCAGTTTCTCCTTTCACACATTCTTTTTCACTTAGCAGGTAACTTTTGCAAAGTAATTATTTGCAATTAATGGAAAGGCTCAAGCTTGTCTCTCCTTTTGGGCAATGAGATGGGCTCCAGGAGGCATTCCTGTGTGGAGTGGGGCCAGGGTATCGGCTGTGGCACATCAAGAAGAAAGCACATCATTTGTGCAGGCCTGGAAGGTGTGCTGTGAAAGAGCTAAGATCAATCTCAAAATAGGATTGCTACTGGGCTGATTCCCTTCAAATCTAGTTTTGGGGAGAGAAAGAGAAAATATTAAATAAGCATAGGAATCAGTGACAAAACAACCACTTTGGACACAAGGAAAAACTCTATGGGGAAGGAAGGTGCCTGAATATTTCCAACTGGGGGCCACCCAACCACAGTCAGTTGTCCTCTCTCAGGATGTCCACGAGAGCTTGGAGCAGCCGGTCATCCCTGTGCTTGTAAGGTTTTGTGTTGTAGAAAACATCCACATAGTCATTATACAGACTGTCCTCAGGGTCTTTCAGTCGCGAGGGTTTGTTGAGCTTTTCCAGGGCTTCGTAGAAATTCTCGTAAGGGATGCTGAGCTTTGCCCCCGGAGCTTGCTTTGGAGGTAAGTTTTTGCTAAAAGCGCTTTGCAGGAGTCTCAGCATGGCCTCGGAAGGGGTTCCCTCTGCCAGTTCATCCCTTCGATTGCCAACACTGATGCTGCTGGGACTGTTGGCCACCGGGGTCTTCTCATCAGGGTTCTCCTGGGTGGGCTGCTCCTAAAACATAGAATGCCACCAACAAGGGGAAGAAGACTCAGGGTTTACATCCAGAAAGCTGGTGGCAGCCCTGTTGTATAGGCTTTCTACCTGTCCCCTAGGGAGGCAAGTGTAGAGATGGGGAAAAAAAGGCTTGGGGGAGTCTGGTTTCCACATACTGAGATCCCTTGGCAACCTTTTTAGTCTCCCTGTACTCTGAACTAGGAGGAAGAGTGCTCCCAGACAGGGGGTTGAGAAGATGTTCTGCATGTGCTATATCCCTTCATGCGCTAATCTTCCATTTGGAATCCATCAGAGGAAGATGGTGATGCTAAATGTTTAACCATGCACTGGGGAGGCACCAACCAGTTTGCTGTACTGTAGGCACAGACTCCTGAAGTTGCTCTGCTCCCATGGGAGCCACTCTGTCAGCCACTGTGTCGGAGGAGGGGCATGAGGAAACAGTGAGGAGGGTGGGCTGGGGAGGAAGGAGCTAGAGCTATCACAGAGCGTGGAAGGCCTTGTCAGCAGCTATGGAAGTATAATTGTGCCTTGGTATCTGTAGGATTGATTCCAAAAGCCCAGTGTGCTCCATTCCCTTACATAAAATGGCATGACATTCACATTTAACTGACATATACCCTCCCAGATACTTCAAGTCATCTCTAGGTTATTTAGAAGCCCTAATACAATATAAATGGTCCATAAAGAGTTGTTCTGTATGATTTAGGGGATAACGACAAGAAAACATCTATGGATGTTCAAGATAGATGCCATGATATGTTAATATTTTTGGAGTCATGTTCATTGACTGCAGATGTGGCATGTACAAACTTGGTGTGGCTGAAGGATCCTGTTCATGCCTTTTAAGAAATCCCAGAGAAAGAAACACAAGTTATATTTGCTTCTGAAAATGGAAGGAGAGGCTCCCAGGCTCTAGTCCTGGAGGGAAGCTGCCTTGCAGAATGAAAGTGTGGGGGCCATCACCCACTGGCTTATGTTCTAAAATAGATGTTGTATCTCAGTGTCTTCCAAAAGAGCCCATGACTGCAAACCTACAGTTACTGAGGGCAGGCCACTGGGAAAATTGTAGCTAGCTGCCTGTCACATTTGGGGCCCTGTGATGGACACTGGGGAAAAAAGAGGACATGCTCTCTGCCTATCACCTGCTGAGAGAGAAGCCAGCAGTCCCAGGAGGGTAAAAGCAGGTGCAGGACCAACTTCCTGCCACTGTCCTCTGAAATTTGCTGAGAGCACTGATGGTTCTGTAACTATCGTGTTATTGCCAACACACATGCCTGTTACTAACACACACACACACACATCTGTTACTAAACTGGGATTAGTAACAAGCACTGGACATGAACTTGCCACCAAAATCTTGACTTTCTTTCTGCCAAAATGGATATATTCCCGTCAGTCCATCCTAGATTATAGGGATGAGAGGTTTGAAGAGTCAAAGTGAAAAATACTAAATAGCTAAATGCAGTGCAAATGGTAGGTATTTATAATCATGTAAAAAAGCCTGCTGCTTTTTTTTTTTCCATTTGATAACTGTACTGAATGAAGAAAATTCTTCTTAGGGAATGTAATCATCTGGCATTCATCAATTTCAACTTATAAATCCAGAGTAAAAGAACAAAATGACAAAACTCATGTTGACAGGGATGGGAGATGGGGGTTCGGGGCAGTGCACCACCACCATTTCATTGTTTATCCCACACTCTGCCTCACCACGAGCCACAGCCTCCCCTACTGCCTTGGCTCCCACACCCCCACAGAAAGCATGCCAAGAGGAGAGCTATACAGACCTCCCGGGCATCTGCCATCTTCTCCACCCCTCTCCTGTCGTTCTGCACCGTGTTATAGGATGTGTACACCCGGGGCTGTTTCATGTGCTCAGGTTGAGCCGAGGTCCCATGCAGGATCAACTTCCAGTTGACAATTCTGCCTTCATTCTGCATTCTCCCAGACTAGGGCAGAAGCATGTAGGTATCTCAGTGTGTGTTTCAAAAAGGTAAAGCAAATTCATTCAAAATATCTAAAAAGGACTCCGTAGGGAAAATCTAATTTTTAAAAGATGTACTTATTTGAAAGGCAGAGTGGCAGAACGGGGGAAGGAGAGGGAGAGTAAGAGAGAGAGATCCCATTTTGCTGGTTCACTTCCCGAACTCCTACAACAGATAGAACTATGCCAGGCTAAGGCCAGGAGCCCAGAACTCCATCTAGATCTCTTACAAATAAGTGCTTGGGCTATTATCTGCTGTCATCCCAGATATATGAGCAGTGAGTTTTGCTATATCAGGAGAGCAGTAACCAAGACTTGGACTGGTGCTCTGTATGGGATGTCTGTCACAAGCAGAGGCTTAACCTTTTGCATCACAATGCCAGCCCTAAATATCTAATTTTAAGGGTCTGTGGACTGCAAATGCAAAGCTTTATGTTAAAAAAAAAAGCTGGACTTTTCCGGCTATAAAAATGATAGTTTAGGGCACAGCACAATGACTCAGTGGCTAAATCCTTGCCTTGCATGAGCCAGGATCCCATGTGGGTGCCAGTTCATATCCCAGCTGTTCTACTTCCCATCCAGCTCCCTGTTTTTGTTCTGGGAAAGCAGTAGAGGATGATCCAAGGCCTTGGGACCCTGCATGCTTGTGGGAGACCTAGAAGAAACTCCTGGCTCCTGGCTCCTGGCTTCAGATTGGCTCGGCTCTGGCCATTGCAGCCACTTAGGGAGTGAACCAGCAGGCAGAAGAGCTTTCTGTCTCTTCTTCTCTGTAAATCTGCCTTTCCAATAAAAATAGATAAATCTTTAAAGAAAATGATAGCTAATATATACAACAATCTAAAACTTAGTGCTTCAGAATCAAGCATTTAATTAAAGTAGAATTCCTTTCTATCTTATGTGTATTCTTGAAAATTTTACTATCTTCTTTTCTCAATTATCAGTTTAGGAAAACATCACATTGGGAGAAAAATCAGCCTTTGCATAATAGTATTGTGTAAAGCCTTCATCTTCAATCACCTTTTAAAAATTATACACTTATGGGAAGAGTAGTGATTTTCAATGTATCATACATAGTGTCTCAAAATCTAAAATGTCTATAAAACAGATTAAAAAAACTGTAACATTAGATTTTTGAAGACTTGATATAAAGTAGTTCCATTTTGATAAACAGATTCTTAGTTTCCTGATGGTACAATCAAGTGAAAGGATAGAGGCCAACTTCACGAATATTTCTTACTTACCCTACAATTGGAGGACTTTTTACAATGCCCTACTTCTAAAACACTGTAGTAATCTTCAGGAGAAGAATATTCTCAGGGGAAAAAAGTAACAATGACTACAGTGTTTGTCTCACTTTCACTGATATCTTGAATTTAGAGTAACTTATTTTTAAAGAATTAATTTGGCATGATGATCTGCACCATTGGTACTTAATATGCTCCTCTTTCATTCAAATGAGCTCAGGGCTAAAACACCATACATGTATATTCTCACCCCTAGAGAATACTAGAGAAATGATGCAAAAATAAATAATTATTTGGCTTGGTGTACAGATACCCTTGTTCTGCCCTGACATTTTTATAACTGTATGTTAAGATTATAGAAGAATGATGGGCAGGCATTGGCACGGCAGTTGAGATAACACTTTGGACTCCTGCATCCTGTGAAAAAAGGGTCTGCATTCTATCTTGATTCTGCTTCTGATTTCAGCTCTCTACTGATGCACATCCTGGGAGGCAGCAGGTGAGGGCCCAAGTTTTTGCGCCCCTGCCACCCACATGGGAGACTTGGATTGTATTCCCAGCTTCCAGATTGAAACTAGCCCAGCCATAGCTGTTGCAGGCATTTGTGGAGTTAACCAGTACACAAGAGATCTCTGTCTTTCTAGCTCTCAAACAAAACAAATGTTTTAAATACCAGGAATGTAAGAGTGCAAAGTGAAAGAGAAATAAAATATGTTTTCAGCCCAGTGCAGTACCTAGTGGCTAAAGTCCTTTCTTTGCAACCACTGGGATTTCATATGGGCACCAATTCATGCTCCAGCTGCTCCACTTCCCATCCACTCTCCTGTTTGTTGCCTGGGAAAGCAGTCAAGAATGGCCCAAAGCCTTGAGGCCCTGCACCCATGTGGGAGACCTGGAAGAAGCTCCTACCTCCTGGCTTGCGATTGGCTTAGCTCTGACCATTGTGGCCTCTTGAGGAGTGAACTAGCAGATAGATCTTTCTTTGTCTTCTTTCTCTATATCTGATTTTCCAATAATAAATAAATCTTTATTGAAAAACATGATTTTCAATTTGTTTCATGGCTTTACCAGGCCTTCCCTACTGTGAATTGATTTCATTTTTTAAAGATTTATTTTTATTAATTTGGAAGGCAATCATGGAGGGTGGCATCTTCCATCTGCTGGTTCATGTCCCAAATGGTTGCAGTGGGCCAGACTGAAGCCAGGAGCCTGGAACTCCATCCAAGTACTCAGGGCACCTCTCTCTACTTTCCCAGGTGGAGGGACTGAAAGTGGAGCAGCAAGGACTCGAAACAAGCCCTCCAGTATGGGATGGCAGCATTGCAGGTGGCAGTTTAACTCACCGAGCTACAGCATGGGCCCCTTGAAGCTATTTCTAAATAGTTATTTCACAGTAGTTCTAAGATATCCTGTACATGATACCGGCAGAGGGTCATAGCCTTGCTGGCCTGGCAGTTGACTAGCTTTGGAAATAAAGTCAATTATGGGGTAGGAATGTAGTAGGGGCAGGCTGCATTCAGACTGACTGGGCCTCTAGCCTGCCACATTGCTTGTTGGTGCACCTGTTTTTCCACATTGTTGTGTGGCATAATCTTTCTCAAGGACTGTACTTTCTATACTATGGTATTTCAAAAAGTTCTTGTAAATGAAGTTAAAAGATAAGATTATTTTGGTGCACCACAATAATCATGAGGGGCTGGCACAAAGGAAAAGCAGGCTAATTTTCCACCTGTGGTGCCAGCATCCCATATGAGCTCATATGGATTCAAGTGCTGGCTGTTCCACTTCCAGTTCAGCTCTTTCCTAATAGCCTGGGAAAGCAGCAGAGGACAGTCCAATGCCTTGGGCCTCTGCACTAATGGGGGAGACCCAGAAGAGGCTCCTGGCTTTGGAATGACCCAACTCTTGCCTTTGTGTCATTTGGAGAACAAAACAGCAGGTGAAAAATCCTCCCACTCTCTCCTCCTCTGTAACTCTTTCAAGTAAAAATCAGTAAATCTTACAAATGTTGAAATCGATGTACAGTTTTTATTAAAGAATACACTTTCCATGAGCTTATTATGTAGAATTTAAAAATTTTGATGCACCAAAGTAAACATCTTTTACTCCATTTTTCCACAAACGTTTTGAAATTACTTCATATTTCATGTGAGCAGGGCTTGGCCCAGTCACTCCATTGCTCACTAATTTGTCTTAGGGGTGGTTAAGCTCTCCTTGGCACTAATTACAATATCAGCCCCGTAAGGGTTTCCAACTGTTTGAAACTAAGTCTGTGCTTCTTCATCTTCTCACTTGTACATACCATGTCTGCGATTCGCAAAGTCCAGGTCCCTGTAGGATTCTCTCCCCACGTGTGAACAGACATGAAATCCCAGTTCTTAAATCCATTAGGGGATGTGTCCCGCTCTCTCTCAGCCAGCAGTACAGTGCTGGTTCCTATTTTCATGCAATAAACACAAGTCAGTGGATGTCCTAACACCTCTTCCGGCAGTATGCACTCTAGTGCCTGGATACTGCAAATAATCACTGCCAAAGGTTTGGCTTCTTCAGTTTTCCCTTTTAGTGTAAGACCAGCATAAAGATATTCACAGGAGAATCATGATGTTTTTGTTCAAAATACATAGCACATTACCTGCCATATAGTAAGTTCTCATTAAATAGTGTATACAAACGAATAAAGAAGTATTATGTTGGCTAAGGTTTATTTAAATAAAGAGAACTTAGAAAAATAATTTACAAATTGAATTAATGAGAGCTAGATACTTAAAATGCATTTTAGTAGAAATATTTTGAAATGTATGAAAATATCTTGAAAATTTAATAGATGTCTGAATCATGTACCCATAAAATTAATTTACTTTTAATCTATTACTAATAATCATTAGTTAATGATATTTCAGGTACAGTTGTCTAATCTCTTGCCTTGTAAAATTAGCATGAAGAATAATTCTAAATAGTCAAGATCAAGCTCTCTTTAAACCAATAGTATTTCTAAGTAAAAGAGATAAATGAATTGTTGATCCATGAATGTTAGGAAAAAAGCATCCTGCTGACATTCCAGGCCAATTCCAAGGCCTCAAGAGAGCCTAAGGCCACAATGACAGTCTACTCCAATAGAGACGGCATGCTTTTCCTCATCTGTCCCCACTTTTCCACCTCCACTAGCCTATCAGAATCAATGCCAAGAAAAATAAGCATTGCTTGTGGACTTGAAATGATAATTTCAAGGGGCTTAGCTCTATGAATAAATATAACCAATCACTGAACTGAACACATCTGATTGACACTTGAAGTCTTAAACTAATGGTTTAGAAGAACTTTTGGAAAAGTTACCAGCAGCAGAAGTTAGTGTGACATGGAGGTCTCCTCGACGGGAATATTCAATTGTTGCTTCAAACTGCACATGCTCCAGGGACTTGATAGCGTTTTCTTGTCCTTCACAAGCTCTTGTTGGAATTTCAATGATAACTTCTCCACTAGCTTTCAGGGCCCTGAGCACATGAAAAAATCGGCATTGGTATAAGTATAGTTCTTTTTCCTTACTTATTGTGTGTTAGTATTACACATCTAATGTTGCCACTGTTGTGAAGAGAACCCAATTCAAGATTAACTTAAAAACCCATCTTACTGCAACACAAAGCAGTAAGCAACTGTAATATTTAAGTACAGTGTTTTGTGCTAAAGAATGAAATGCAGGCAGGTTTGCCTTGGCTCCATCCTAATGACCCTCCAAGGAAAAACTCAAATCTATGCAGCTTCCCTAAGGCATGCTCCCATCCCCTTAACTCTCCCATTGTGTGTATTTTGTGTGCACGTCTTCAGGACCACTGCGGTAGCCTAGAAGGAGGCCAAACACTCACAGTTGATTCTGCTTTGAGGCCTAATGGGCACTGCCAGAAGTGGTTTCTGTAAAAGCTGCTTGACAAAGATTGCTTTGTGGAAGGAAATTCTGGAAGCTCATGGCTCAGCTCTGTAGCACAAAGTGAGGCTATTTCGGAGGTAGATTTGGGGTAATGCTCATGGGCAGGTCCTGAATTTCATCAGCTGTAAACCACATTTTTAAAATGTGGTTTTAAAATGGCTACCTCTGAGTTTTAAACACATCTCAAAATGATGGTCGATTGGGCATAGATTCAGTGATACTGAAAACTATGGTGTGCTTTAGATTTTCTTGTGCTAGGTGGACTGCACTCTGCAGGAGAAACGTAATAATGAGGGACCTTTACAAAGTTCATAGAGAGTCCATATTATGGAACAAACAATGCATGGATTTCAGATTTTTCTTTATACTAAAATAAACTTATCTTTATTTCCATTTCCAGTGATGAACTTTTTCAAGTCCCCTTGTAGCCTTGCATGCTTGACAGATCTCTGTTCTCTCACTGAGCCTCCGTGGAGACACATAGAAAACAATGGCAAATGCCACTGACTTCAAAGGGATAGGTGAGAACACAGTAACACAGGGTGACAAACATCATCATGGAGTGGTACCATGGACACACATTTGTTGAAGGCGCCTGGAGACACTTACCTAGGCTCGAAGTCATTGTCTTTTACAACACACTCCTTCTTCTCAGGCACGCCGCTCCAGGTCCTGGGGTCCGCTAAGTCCACCAAAGCCTTGGCATTCAGCAAGCCAAAACCAAACCGACTGTTCACCATCAAGCCTGCCCCATTCTTTTTCCATCCAGGGTTATTGGCCAGTGGGTCATACTCAGAGGTCCAGACAACCAGGTGCTGCATGTCTCGCCAGGTGAGATTTGGGCTGGAGGGGAAGAGACCCAAAACATCTTTCAGGAGCCCAGTAAAATTTTCTTGCAAGGGCAAAAGCGGAACCACAACACCTGCAGTTGGGCATTGCCAAGAGCCTTTAACAACTGTGCTGATTACTTGAGTGTCAATTACCATCAGCGTGTCTTTTCATTTAGAGCTCTAAGTACAGTATCACCAAGACTTCTCTCGTTTACACACGTTAAGCTCTTGACTATGATTACAAGGAAATCTTCAGCACCCCCATAGTGTAAACTCCCGTCCGAGATTTCTAATTCCTTACATTTAACTGGAAGAAATTTTTAAAATGACAACACGTCCCTCATGTCTTTCAGTCTTAGGTTGACAGTTAATTGTCATAGCTCTTTCAGCATTGTGAACCACAGAGGGGATCTTAATTTTCTTCATAAGACAATCAGATTTTGGAGTTCTAGGCTGCCTACCCTGAACTATGCTGTGCATTTCTTGGTTTGGTTTTTATTCTTTTTATTATTTATTTATTTTGAAAGCAGAGTTACAGAGAGAAGGAGAGAAAAAAATCTTTTATCCACTAGTTTGCCCCCCAGATGGCTGTAATGGCAGCAATTAGGTCAAGCTGAAGCCGGAAGCCAGGAACTTCATCCAAGTCTCCAATGTGGGTAGCAGAGTTCTCAACACTTAGGTCATCTTCTGCTGCTTTCCCAAGCCATTAGCAAGGAGCTGGATCAGAAATGAAACAGCTGGGACTTGAACCAAAACCCATACTTGATTTTCCTGTCATTCTCCAATACAATAAAATTCATAGGTATTGTAAGTAATCAGGTGATGCGTTAAAATATATAGGAACATTGTGTAGGTTATATAAAATTTTATCACAGAAGGATCTGGAGCCAATCCGCTCACAGTTGATGTGTTAAGAAATTCTTAGCTCTGGCATTGCTCTCAAGTGAGATTACACTCAACACTGTAGGGTGTTCAAGGAGGTGGTCTGGTCTTTAAGAAGTTTACAATCCTACTAAAAATTCAAGTATTTTCTTTTGAATTGATGTGCAATCGTTGTACTTATTTATGGGCACAGTACTGTCGTTTGATACAGGTAATACAATGGGTAGTGACCAAATCAAGGTCTTTAGCATTGCCAGCTCCCCATTTATTATCATGGCTCTGTGTTGGGAACCTTCAACCTCTTCTGGTTGTTTTGAAGTGTATAATTAATTTGTTGTAGACTATTATTAGAACACAAAGCCTACTCCCTCCCCCTCGATTATATGTTTTTGTGCTCACTAAGACTTTTTTTCTATCTGTTGAATGCCAATGTTCAAAGCTCAATGACTTGGGTGAGATTAGAGGAAGAGTTTCCATGGAATAGAACAAACTGAAAGACTATTTGGGGGTGAAATGTTTGCAATGAACTCTGAAAGGGACACAGAATTCTTAGGAAAGTTAAATAGACAAAAAGATGTGAGGCAAATAGGGACTAAAGAATCCAGATGGGACAGTGCAGGGTAAGACCAAATTACAGTGTGCTTTGCTGGAACAGGAAGGGACAGTGAGCAGTACTGGGCCTGAGTAATGAGGACATTGATCTCAAGGAAAGGGAGCTTACTATCACATTTGGGTGGTTGGAGTCATAGAGGATTTTAAAGCAAGGGAATAGTAAAATCAGAAGATTTGGCAGCAATATGATAAATATGGGTGGTTGGATTTACTACAAATGGTGAGGTCATCCTCACTCCAATGATGAGGCCTTCCTTGGTCGTCTTATATAATATTCAGTTCTCCCCACATGTGCCTAAGCTTTTCTACTGCTATGCTTTTTTCTTCAAAGATCACTTTTTATCATACTAAGCAACTCATTTATATGTTATGAACATCCAGTTCCCTTGCTAGAAGGTAGCCATGTTAAGGGTAAGATGTTTATCCATCTTGTTCTGCTATGCATACCAAGCACCTAGAAGAATGCCAGGCACTAGGGGATATGCTGAGGAAATTGTGCATGGTAAATGATTGACTATTCCTAAGTGTTAACCAGACCTAAATATCATTTTAAAACTGGTTTCTGTTAGTTATTAGTCATTTTCCTTGTTGACTTTGAGACCTTCATTATTTCTATCAAGCCAACCAAGCCCTATAAGTCTCCTGTTTACTCCTTGAGGCTCCAGTCTTACACCACACTATAGAGTAGTCATCAGGGAAATATGGTGCAATTTGCTGCCTCCCCCTCCAGAACCTTTAATGTACTTGTTAGAAAGTCCCCTGGTGACAAGAAAGAGGCACTGTTCATTCCCACACATTGGGAAGGCTGACTGCTAGCTAACACCTGTGAATGATTTCCCAGGCCTGGCTACAATTACCAAGCAGCGCCCCCTGCACCAAACTGAGGGCCTAGCCCATGGCTGGAGCCTGCAAGGGGACAGAAACCAAGGCCCAGCACCTGCCCAGACCATCATGCTCTTTACAGTCACATCCCTGGCCTCCATGGTTGAGCCGGGCTTTCATTCCCAGGATTCCAGTCTGAGGTCTGGGCAAAGGCATCCTTACCAGGAAGCGGGAGAGAAACTCTGAAAACAGTTTGCACCACTCTGAGTGAGTCAGTAATGGGTACTTTTCCCCTCCTCACTTCCCCCATGCGTCCCTCAATCTATGCCTCAGGAGTACTGAGTCTGCCAGAGCCCTTTTGTAGAAGGCTCCATGAATAATAAGATGGCCCTGAGTCAGGAATGGGCCACCCACCTGGTGCACCCTTCCAAAGGGGGAAAAGAAGGGAATGGGACTACTTCGTGTACTACTCAGACCCTGATAATAACACAGGAGTAAGCAATCACAGAGCTGCTCCAGCAACTGATGGCCCAGCTCCCTTCTGTCTCAGCTCACCTGAGCTCCTTACAAACTCACCTAACCCCAGCAAGCAATGGTACCCTTGGAAAAGCCCTGGTTCAGCTCTTCTCATGGACCCTGGAAGCTTGCAGTACAATCATCTGGTGCACTTGAAAATAGCAACCCCTGAGCCCTGGCCCAGCCCTACTGATCATATAGTACCTAATGAAAGGTAGGGCATGACTTTAATGTTTATATTTGAAAAAAAATCCCCTCTAACCAGTTCTATAGTATATCAAAATTAACAGCACCTTGTTGGCACAAAATAAACTCATGGTCAGTTAAGGTAATTATCAAATCACGGGGTCAGACCAGTGATGATTCCATACAGACTGGGATTAACTGTTGAAACTGAACACTGTTTCTAGCTACAAGAGATGTGGGAAAGCACACTGAATTGTATTTTGCAGTGAGGGATGATGTGACCTTAAATCCCTATTTCTGGGTCTGAGTTGACTCAACTAATGTGAGAAGGAGTGAATCCTGCAAGCTCCAGAATTCAGTACCTTATGTCTGCTGCATTTCACGAGTACCTTTCTGTAACTCTTAGTCCCTTTTTGGCCATCTCCTACCTGGGATCACTAACTAGATGAACAGAAATGACTATTTTCTCAATGCAGAAACCAATTTTGTCCCCTAAAGCATTTCATTGAAATGCTTGCTTCCTTCTAATTGTTGAAAGGAGGTTTTGGGTAAAACTCTCTTACCAAGGTGGTCAACAAGCAGCACACCAGCTTCCCACAGGCCCAACAGTGGGTGTGTGTGTGTTTGAGGAGGCAGAAGGCAGGGTGATGAGAATTGGATAATCACAGGCAACGCATAGGTTTTCTCTACTTCCAAAGTAGAGTTTTTATTTTATATTGGGTTACTTTCATTGCTTAGATTTTTTATTTGGTCTTTGCAAAATATTCAAGAGACTCTTTTTTTCTTGGTCATGCAATTAGGAAAATTAAACCTGTTTCCCTATTCTAAAGTCGTGCGCTGGCATTGTGTGAATGCAAAGGAGATGCTAACAATCCTCTGTGACAGCCTCCCTCTGTTAATTGGTACTATGCAGCACCCATGGTAATTAAATTTTTAAAAACTGTACCACACTGCTAATCAAAGTTATGTTTATAGAAAATATGAGTTATGCAATTAAATATTGAAATTAAGCACAGCTTCTGACTAAAAAATGATGTAGGGAAAGTAATCTAGAGTCAAAATTCTACAGCAAAAAGTACCAAGGATTAGCTGGGAGTGCAAGTGGAATATTCTCTTTCTTTCTCTCTCTCTCTCTCTCTTTCTCTGTCTGAAGGGTTGGCATTCAGCATTTCCTTTCCCTCCCAGGTCTGGGGAGAAGCGCGGCAAAGCTGCTGAGGGCACCGGCTTTGGGGCAGATGACGGGCCCAAGCCTGACCTCATTATGAATCTTGGTTACATTTCTCAACCTCTCTAAGCCTTTATTTCTTTAATTATAATATGCAACGAATAATTTCCATGTCATGAAGATTGGAGTTCAGTGGTGTAGCAGAGGTCAGCACCGGGTCTGACTGTGTAAAAGCCTCATTAAATGTTACATGCCATCATGCTTGATGGGTTCTGTCGACTTTTCCTTCACTCTCCATAGATGTCCCTTGAGCGATGGCACAGAGTTAAAGTGTTCTATCAATTTCGAGTGTCTAGGGAAAATGCTTGGGAAGCTTTATACATTCTAGCACTGAGATTTTCTAAATAATAGTCTTGCTGTAGATAGTTGAACAGAGCTCAGAAAACTGTCCAAAGGAGAAGTCTCATTTCCATAATATCTACTTTGGTAGGAAGGCCATAAATGCTAAGATAAATTATGTCCATTTTACTGATGAATTGAATCAAAATGACAGCCATTAAATTTTTATGTTTGCATTAGGGGGATCTTAGATTCTTCAAATCTCTTAAATCATGAACCTCCAAACCACTCCTCTGGAAAAATGTCATATACACACTTATCAACAGTTCCGTATTTCATTGCCCATGGCTTCATCCGGACCCCTTGGAGTGCCTCCAAGTACTGCACAGCATTGGAGTCCCTGTTTTAGAAATTGTCCACCGAGGGTCAATGAGGTCGACGAGGCTACACCATTCTACTCGTACAGAAAAAGAATTGTTGAAATTGTAGAGATCAGAGATTATACGTTTGGCTGTCGCATTACATATGTTCAGCCAGAGTGATATGATTTGTATTGTTCTCTAGACAAGCATAGGATAAGTCTGGCCAGCTATAGTTATATGTGTCTGACCAGTGTAGGGTAGAGAAGAAGGACTCTTGACCTAAATAAGGATTAATTTGTTTTTACAGCCTCCAGAGGGTTAATAATTTGTATCTTGATATCATAAACACCATAAATCTATTCCATAGGATTCTATGTGTCATAGGCCCTCTTTGTTTCGAGTTCCAACCCCTCACTACCAATCACAACAAGATATAAGATTGTCTGTATAAGAATACTTGAAATATTGGGCCCAACATGATAGCCTAGTGACTAACATCCTCGCCTTGCATGCACCAGGATCCCATATGGCTGCCAGTTTTAATCCTGGCTGCTCCACTTCCCGTCCAGCTCCTTGCTTGTGGCCTGGGAAAGCAGTAGAGGATGGCCCAAAGTCTTGGGAACTTGTACCCATGTGGGAAAACCTGAAGAAGCTCCTAGCTCCTGGCTTCAGATTGGCTGAGCTCCAGCCATTGCAGCCACTTGGGGAGTGAACCAGTGAATGGGACATCTTTCTTTCTGTATTTGCTTCTCTCTGTATATCTGTCTTTCCAATAAAAAGAAAAAAAAAATGGTAGGAAATCAAGTTAAAACATAAGCTTATTTTGGTGCAAAACAATTATGGAATTAATATGTGGAGAAATCTGCAAAATGTTCCCAGAAAAATGTCTTATAAACAAACTATGAATTTTAAAAATGCAAGAAACTGAACTTATTTTAAAATTTTATCTTCCCACCAATTTATGAGGTACCCTCATATATGTCAACATCTATAGTTTTAAGCCTAAGAATCTTATAAAGGAAAGAATTTGGCAAAATTTTGTTTGGCCCTCTCATTTTATAGATGGAAATATTGACCCCTTACCTGTGAATTGACTTGCTTAAGGCCACATAGCATGATTCAACTAGAACTTGAAGTTGGGGATCCATGTAACTTTCACTGCCAGGACTATTTTTTTTTTTTAGAAGCAGGTTTGGCTCAGCTGACAACAGCCTTATCTGTCTATTTGGTCCTCTGTCCATCTCCTTCCTGCTACCAGTGAACTCGGGTCTGAGCAAGACTCTTCTGTTGGGCTCAAGATCTAGTTTTGATGGAGCTCTTTCTGATCTGTTTCTTCTCTGTCCATGCATCTTGCCAAGCAAGTGGACTCCTACTCAAAGCTGTGCCATACTTATTATGCTTAGTCACTGTGGTACCTCATCTCTGGAGTTCCCAGGACCAAAGCTCGGCTCCCTGGAAATCCTCAGCATTCCTAAAACTATGCTGGACTCTCCTGAGCAAAGGGTCATACCTTCTGGCCTTTTCCAGGCATGGCAGAAACTAGAAGTCCTACCTTGGTGCTATTGTGAGTATGTGGAATCTACTGAACACAGCACATGGGGACTACTACTTTGTCCCCTCTCCAAAGAATAGCCTCCTTGCTAGGATGTTGATTTACAAATGTAATCATTTCTTTCCTTACACTGCCTCAGCAGTGGAGTTGACATTTAAAGATTTCCTGTCACCACATTTCAGAAAGGAGGAATGAGGACTCATAAAAAAATATTCTGTGGCTGTGTACTGTTGATTAAACTCTTCCCCCTTGTGTTATGTGTTGGATATTGAATAACTATTAAGAGGAAAGTGTTGTTAAATTTCTCTAGCATCATACATTAAAGTAAGTTCCAGGGTATGTAGAAATTAAATCTGAAGGTACTGGGAAAATCTGGTAGAGAAAGGAATGAAAAGATAAGCTTACTCTGATATAAAATGTTTTGAATTGGGGTGGAGGGGTGGGTGTTTGACCTGGCAGTTAAGAAGATGCTGCTGCTTAAGATGGCTGCATTCTACATTGGGGTACTTGAGTCTGATCGCCAGCTCTGGTCCTGACTCCGATTTCCTGCTAATGCAGTTCCTGGGAGGCAGCAGACATCAGTCAAGGATCAGATCCCTGCCAGCACATGGGGCTGCTCTCCTTACTGGTGGCCTCACCCCAGCCAGCCCTGGCCTTCAGGAGGTGTTAGGGAGAGCACACCAGTGGATGGGAGTTCTCTCTGTGTGTCTGTCTGTCTCTGTCTATCTCTCTTAAAATAAATGAAAAAAAAGAATTTTGAGATCCAGAGAGAGGAGCAGTTTTCAATAAGTTCATGGAGTAGCACAAATTATGAAAAAAAAAAGATGCGTAGATTTCACAGTTGTCTTACACAAAATTAAACTTATTTTTCAATCACATTTATCCAAGAATTTTTTTGAAGAACCCTCATCTAATAAACAAAGCTTAATCAAATATATATAAACAAATGGTTATCTAATTTGGTGTGAAGGTTTTTCCTGAGCATTGAAGCAAAGGAAGAAGCCTTAAAGAAATGGACTGACTGACATAACTACATGCATATTAACTCCATGATGTTAAGCATTATGTATGAAGAAAATGAAAGGTAAATATCAATTTGATATGTAAAGATGACTTTTTTGAGCCAAGGCCATAAAACACAATCAAAATCATAAAAAGCGAGCTTAGAAGCTGATGGCTAAATGTTTAACAGTAAGAATTTCATTAGTAACAAAACCACACTAGAATGAGATACCATTTCCACCTTCCAGATTGCAAACTTTTAAACATTTGGATAAGAGTTCCTTTTGGAAACTGAAACTTGGAGGGGCATCTTGAAAAAACTTTTATGCAAAATGTATTTTAGAGGGAAAAAAAATAAGGATTTCAAACGTTTTTTGCTCCAAAATAAATTTATCTTTTGATCCCATTTTTCTTCATAATTTTTTTTGAAGTGACCTCATGTCTTCCTGTTAGAATATAAAGTTATATGGATGTTCAGGATAGCAGCTTATCAACATATATCAAAATAATTAAACTCACCCGCCCTTTGATCCATAAATTCCAGTTCTTGGGTTTATCATGAGGACTTCATCAGAGGTAAAAACCAATATTTATGGACCAACATGTTTAAACATGATTAGGGTCTCTAATGAATAAGTATGTATAATTCTTATGTCCCCTGACTCAATGCTAACAGCTACAACATGAGTTTTAGATAACTGGGTGAGAGTGTGGGGATGTTTTTATAAAATAGCTCTTTTAAGGAACTGGCACAGTGGCATATTAGACTAACCCTCTATCTGTGGTGCCAGCATCCAATATGAATCTGAAGGTACTGCGAAAAGTAATCCTGGCTGCTTCACTTGTAATCTAGTTCTGTACGGGTGGCCTGGGAGAGCAGTGGAGGATGGCTCAAGGCCTTAGGCCTCTCCAGCCACATGGCAGACCCGGAAGAAGTTCCTAGCTCCTGGCTCTGGATTGCCTCAGCTCTGACTATTGTATCCACTGGGGATTAAACCAGTAGGTGGAAGATATCTCTGACTCCTCTCTATGGAACTCTTTCAAGTAATATAAATGAATATTTTCAAAAAATGCTGTTTCACTGGACAAAATCCTGCCAGTTGGGAATATACAAGAGGGAAAAGGCCTTGAAATTGAGTGGAAAGAGGATTGGGAGAGATTTGAAGTTGAAGTGTCATTGACATGAGCCTGAAATTCTTTTAACATTATAAAGGGGATTAAAACAGATTGCAAAACTTGTGTATATTAAGGTGCATAATTCATGTGTGTGTGTGTGTGTGTGTGTGTGTGTGTGTGTGTGTGTGACATCTGCATTGAGATACTAATAATGGCTGTCTCCAAGTGGCAGAAGACAGTTTGTTTGTACTTTGTTTTGTAGGTTTCTAAAATTTCTACCATCACCACGTGTCCAGAAAGCAACATGTAGGATGAATAAAGAGGAAGGGGAGCTAATAAGAAGCTCTCTGGGCCTTACTTGGCTTCCAGGGCCAGTGCGAAGATGCCAGCAGCCAAAGGTGCAGAGGCCGAGGTGCCCGTGTGGGTCTCAGTGCAGTCATTGTGCAGGTCGGCGCTGGTCTGGATGCGGCAGGCAGGAGAGAGAGGCAGGGACAGGTGAGAAGGCGAGAGGCATGCTGCTCACCGAGGGCCACATCCGCTGTGACCAGGAAACAGCTGAATCCATTCCCCACTTCCTCCTCAAAACCACGAGCGGATATTTGCCATCTGCTGATATTTTAGTTTGTTCTCCTCTGCATGTTACTTGTCTATAATTCTGGCAGCAAGATGCCTTTTCTGGGGATGAAGTACTCCCACTATGAATATTTTCTCTTCTGAGATCCCCAAATGAAATGCTGTCTATAAAAAAGGAACAGTCTCGAAATCACTGTGAATCACAGCAGCCCATTAATCACCGGGTCCATTGTGTTTGGTCTGGCATATTGAGAAATTCTGCCTCTCCCAAAATTCCCCTTGGCCTTCAGAATGGCATGTGATGCCTCTTCGGCACCTGGATGGGAAACTGTCCTGATGTCAAGCACTTGAACTTGCTGTGCAAAGTGTACACACACAGGCAGACTACATCTGTCACCCAGGAAAGTCCATGTCCATGTTTGGACCTTGCTTTGTAAGTGAAAAGTATTTTGGATTTAGTTCTGCATTTAGTCTGCAGAATTGTTGCACATTCAATGTGTGCTATGGGCAAGTGACTTGGTTCCCCCACCTGTAAAAGTAGATTCTGTTTCCTGACACAAGTGTGGAGACTTCAATGTTATGATACAACATCACTGCACATAAGAAGCTGCCCAGGATAATGTAGGGCAGTGAAGACTTGGCTGAAAGAAAGAAGGGGAGGAAATGGAAGATCTCCTCAGCATTGCTGACTGAGTGGATAGTGGGGCCAAATGATTCCTAAAAAGACACCCTCCCAGGGTGCATGCAGCATTTCAGTTGCTAGCTCCAGATTTCAACGTGTGGGAGGGAGGTGTTAAAAAATAATAATTTGTTCTATTATCACCTCCTTTGGCTTCCCGCTCAGAATTTCTCAAGTTTTGATGGCTCTACTCCTCGGAGGGCTACAGAAGCGAGGCTTGCCTTTTACCTGTTGATGCACATGAGCCCCCGGAGATGACATAAATGGGGGCCAGGAGGTTTACAAAAGACTACATTACTGCAACTGTCACAAATAGCATCTGCTGGCTGTCTCTCCCAGAGCTGGTTTACTTTTAGGAGGGACCCTTCCAAAGATAGAAATGTTTCTTGTGCTTCAGTGGAAGGCACAGTGAGTGCCAGGCAGTGACAGTCAATGCATGGGGTGGTTCTAGGTGTGCTCACAGCTGTCTGTGTGCCCAGGGAGGACAGCAAGAGCCAGGGGCCCTGCACATGTCTGACTCACCCCTTTCAGAAGCTGTAAACTAATAGTGCTGTCCATTCCTGGAGAATTGGAGGATGGGGACCACCAGTGAGGGAAGCAGGTGCTTTTACATTGAGACCAGAGCTGCTTCACGCCTCAACAAGCTTGCACAGACAGGAAGGGCTAAGGGAATAAAGATGCTGAGCTGCCACAAGTTGGCACCCATTCCCAGGCCATGATTATGGGTAGGGTCTTGTTGAAATTGTTACCCTCCAGTTCTCTGGTTCTCCCTATGTGTAGTGCTTAAATTGGAGGCTTGCAATGTTTTCCATTTAAAGTGTCTGTTCTCTAAGCCCCTTTCCTCATCGTGCCCCAGAAGGGAGATCCAATCCTTGCGCTTGGCAGTCTGACTCATGAACAGAAGGCATAGGAAGAAGGCGTGGGATGCAGGGACCCTGAGCATATAGCAACTCCAGGAAGCTGCTTTTCCAGAAGTGAGGGGTTAACCTTGGGGGAATCAAGCATGTTATTTTTCTGCAGGTGGCCTGTTCTTAGGAGACAGAACTGGGATAGACTATATTTTTATCATCTGCTAAAGGCAAGTCAGACTCCAGCCCCACTATTAAGGGATCAACCAGCATGAGGGCGAGATAGCCCCTCCAACCCTGAAATTTCTTTCAAGACAATTTCCAGGGAGGCCTGAGACAAGCAGAAAAGACATTTGTTGGTTCACCTGTTAGTAATGACAGGTTTACTGGCCTCTCAGAGCTAAGTTTAAAAGTGACAGAGAAGACAGGTCATCTTGGCAGGCATGTCTTCAGCCTTGGAGAGAAAACTTCCCAGCCCTTGCCAGTCTTGCAATTGAATAAGCAGTTTCTCCCCACCTGTGACCCCAAGCCTAAGCAGATCAGCGGTTGCCCAAGGTCAAACAGGAGCATCCTTCCAGATGCAAGCCGTGTTCTGTGCTTTCCATCCCAACTCCCACCCCTGGGGAGGGGGAGCGGAGGTTAGAGAAAAAGCAACCTACAATGCGCTGGTCAGTGTAGTCCCCGCTGCTGTAAGACGTGGCTAGTGTAGAGGAGCACTTCTCAGCGTACCAGGGCGACAGGCCTTGCTGGGAGGCGCTGCTGATGGAGATGGTGTAGATGCTGTCGGTGTAGCCATCGCAGTCACAGTTGTCCCCCTGGCGGCCCCCATTCCCCGAAGCCCAGACGAAGATGGAGCCCTTCCCTTGTCTCCCCTGAAGGAAGGGACAGAATATATAATAGCTGGGGTCATATATTGGATCCAAGTGCAGTAACTCCCTCTCCCCAACACCTGGCAAAGATACATGTGTGATGTCCTCAGACACAGTGACCGGGGTCTGTTTTCAACTCAGGGCCTCCAGGATTGGAGTTAGAAGTCTCATGACACCATAACTGAGGTGCCTAGACTCCAACCCCATCATCCTCCATCATCTGGTCTGTCTGCCAGAGGATGGGCTGTCTTTTCTCTCGTTCACATTATTATGCAGATTCATAATCTAGCCTTCAGCACAGGCTCATTATTTTTTCACTCTTCTCTGGGCTCATGTCACTATGCCTGAATCTTTGAACGTCTTCTCTTTCTTTTGGCATGAATCTTCTGCCTGATAGAATGACAAAATCAGGCATTATTCAGATCTGCCTTGCAGCTGCATTAAAAGGGACTCTTCAGTTGAATGGAACTCGTCAAGGCTATCAGCTCTCCTCTGTATGTTTTTACTCAGGCTTCCTCCTGTGGAGTGCAAAGACCTTAGAATCCAAGCAGGAAGGTAGCACAGGCAACAGACAGAGCAATGCAATGGGCCCAGTAAAAGGCACAGGCTCTGCATTGCAGAAAGCATTGTCAGAGCCTTGGAAAGCAGTCTGACCCATTATTTACCCAGTGTCCAAAACCAAAAGGAGCAGGAAGAAGGACTGAAAAATGTCCTGAGGTCATTATCAAGCTCATATCCTCCAATCATCAACCTCTACTCAACCTCAGCCCCAAACAGGAGAAGCTCTCTTAACCTTTAGCTTCCATCTTTCTGAAGAATAATTTGGCCCTTCAACTGCAAGGAAAATTGTAAAAGGACTTTGTCAGGAAATTCACAACCATCTCTCTCCCCATCACTCTTTCTCTGCATACCCAAATAGTCAGATTGTCACCTCATCTGGGTCAGTGTTAAGCATCTCACCTGTTTGACACCATACTCAAAAGCTTTCTGGGCTAGTCGGCCAGGTCCCTCCACAGTCTTCCCATCATCATTAGGGCCCCAGCTAGCACTGTAAATATCCACATGGCCGGGATTGAATCCAATGGAACTGGCCTCGATGGCATCGGTCACAATGCCATCCAGCATTCTTATGCCTGAGCAGTAAAACACACACACAGTGAACATGCATGTATGGAAAAGCACAATGCTCCAAATATACATATTTTATAAAAACTTAAAAACAAGGTAATTACTGGATGTCCCCAGTGCCTGATTATTAACAGCAGGGAAGCAAGGCACAAGTTGCTACCCTCATAAATTCCCTTGTCTGCCCTCTGGAGATAATAGGGAGAGTGCACTGCACAGGTGGCTGTGTCCCCAGCCACGTCAAAGCTTTGTCCCCAGTCCTACCCCTGTGATTGCATCTAGAGACAAGGGGAAGTGGTCATGATTGCTGTCATTTACAATCGTACCACCTTCCACCATCCCAATATCATGAATACCAGAAAGATCCCTCAGACAGGCCTCATCTTCAAGCATGCTCATAGCTTGACTGTGAATGGCTGGTGCCTAATTTTTGCTACACAAAGGACCTGGTATGAGGAACTGTGCAGCTCACAAAGATCTGTTCACAAAAGGAAACTAACAAATAAGGAAAGAAAACTTGTGTCTGAGCATTGATTAAAAAGTAACCCCAAGGCCATCCTTTTATGTATTGGCTAAAACACATTCTTAAGGCACATGCTTCCCTTTCTTCTAAATAATCCAAAGGATGAAATTGCCATGGCTTTCCCTCCCAAGGGAGCATCACATCTTATCAGGAGGAAGGGAGACTTGACAGCTCTCCATGTTCTCCCACAGGTGGGGGCCCATTATCAGACACAGGGAGGCCAAGGCAATTTGGAGATACAAGCAGCTCCCTGGTACTTCCTAGCTTTAGGCTTGCAATGCAGCAGAGTGCACAGCCTCAGATTTGTCAAATGGCTATTTACTGTGGAGCAGAGGCAAAAGAACCTATCACTGATGTGCCCAGTTCAATCGTGTTGGCAAAAATGAAAAGTTGTTTAAAACACATTTGGAAGAAGAAGCAGACAGCTCTGCTACTTTGTAGTTATGGGATTGGGAGCAGGCTACTCAGCCTGACTCAGTTTCCTCAATTGAAAAATGGTATTCATAGCCATTCATGGGTATGCATGGCTACCTACACACAGTCATCATTCAACAGGGCCTTGTCTGTATGAAACACCTGTCCACAAACTACCATTTTAGATGGATATATGCATGCATATAACTTGTTCAAGACCACAGAGCTTATAATTGGGAAACAAGAGTTTGAATTCTGGAACTCTGGCATCCTAACTTGTCCTGTCAGCTACCACTATATGCTGACTGTACTGTGTTGTAGGGTAAGTGATTGACATAAATTAGATAACCAGTAAGTGCTATTTGGTGATCCAAAAATATATCAAAGAGTAGAGTCATCTTAAAAAAAATCAGCAGGTCTAGAATCAGAAGTCTCGAGTTTCATTCTATACTGCCACAAATTGTATTTTGTTACCTTAGGAAAAAATAGTTGTGATTCTTTTTTATATATATAAAATTAAGGAATCAGAAAACTCTCACAGTCTGTAACTGTTTACTTCATCACAACTTCAAAAGAGAATTCTTTTTCTAGTTAATTGCATAATTTGTGCTTCTGCCTCCATTTTCTTAAAATTAGCACAGTGCTTTTAAGTTGCCAGCAACAAAAGAATCAGGAATGGTACTTAATCTAAGAGTCTCCTGGCTCAATACAAATGTATTGTATATGTCAGGATGTGTATCTATTGGGTTTCAACAAAAGAATCCATGACAAAATGCCAGGTGCACTTATGTAGACTTTCATAGAGCTTTACTATAATTGGCATGTTCTACAAGCCATCTTTCTTGTGGTTGTAATTCTGGAAAACCAAACTGAGCTCACAATGTATAGCATTATGGTGTAAAGAGAAGGAGAAATCTGCCCAATTAGCCCCTGCATTTCTCACTCTGGACCCTTCTCCATGGGAGCTGGGCTCTGTCCGGGACTTCTGCCTTCCGCTCAGGTGAATGGAGGCACCGGCCCCAGCTCTGAGTCCTCCTTGACTTTGTTCTCCCTGTGCGTAGGGACACACTGCATGCCCAGTGGCTTGCTCTCAAGCCCACAGCATTCTCTTATTTTCTGCTAATCTCTCTTTCGCCTTGCTTCTTTGGCCTAGAGCTGTGAATACCTGCCTATGTTTCTTACCCCTGTGTTGGTTCCTGTAATTCTTAAAAATTGTTTCTTTTATAAAACAACTGTAGTCATCCAAATGACACTCGCCACATGTTTCCCTATGTGAACTTTGACCAAAACAAATAGATACCACATCCTCATTAGCAAAGATAACTTTCGACTACTATGTAGTATAACAAGTATGTATTTAAAACTTTCTTTTCTATTAAATTAAGGACTGCTACAGAATTGAGAGGCAGAGAATGTCTGCCTAAATTTATCTCTTCCTTCTGTTCCCTTAGCAATCCCCAGAACCAACCCATCTAAATCAGAACATAGAGAAGATGGGATTTTGTTCAAATGCTTTCCAATATTTCCATTTTTTCCAGTGCAAAGTAGTAAAGGCTCTATTTAGCTCCCTATTTTCAAGGAAACCAAATCTATTGATTTTCTTGCAAATAACACCAATGTCCAACAGCAAATGTTGCACGGAACTCATTTCTACCACTGGTTTTTGAAAGTACTCTGTCTGCCCATTTCCAAGATGTGATGCAAGCATCAAATGGCAGCATCAAACAATAGGACCACCCCCTTCCTGCCACCCTCCAAACAACCCCTCCTTCTGCTCTACCTCCGACTCTGGAATTGTAGGCCACTCCCACTCCACACTTGTGATTGTTGGCTTGCATGGCAATCTCTCCTGCACATCTGGTCCCGTGTCTAAGGATTAAAAAGTGAGAATCACACAACAGGAAAAGGACAGGCATTCATACATGAAGTTATAGTACCTGGATAGAATGACTTCTGTTAGTCTTGCTGCTGGTTTTCTTTCCATGGAATTAGAAGCAATTTCTGTTCAGATGAAGGATGTAGGTTCTAGAGCCAAATTATGTTGAGTTCAAACTCTGGCTGCTGTTGCTAAGTCATACAGTGGCCTTAGGTAGGTTGTTGGACTTCCCGTGGTTGTTATGAAGGTCCCATGAGAGAGAGCGTGTGTATAACACAGAGGGTGATGCATAGTTATGAACCCAGGAAATGTTAGTTATCAATATTGCTAAGAGAAGCCTGCCACTCAGGAATGAATTCCCCCAAAATGGGATTCTGTACTTTTCTGCCTGGTGGTTACCTTGGCTAGAGTTAGTGTTATGTAACAGAACACAGGCCCTTCTGAAGTCTCCCTTTTCTCTTCTATCCATAGACACCACAGTGAAATGTTTGAAGATTTTCCAGGACCAAAGGAGTTGAAGACTTTCATAACACAACCCAGACGAATTGAGAAGTAAGGTGCTCCTACAACTCCTACCAAGAGCAGAATCCTGAACAACATGTGTATACACAGGTAGGGAGGGTAATTGGTGATTTCAGAGGAGTCCCTCAAACACATCCACTTCTACCTCTCAGACATGAGTTCTGAGTTTCTGGGGCTGATACCTGTCCTTCCCCATCACTGTTCTCACTCACAGGTAAAATGGTAGCAAAGTTGTTTATTTCATGTCTCTGTTCCAATGTGGAAACACCGGGGAGTGATGTGAAGGTTCTGGTGGCTTGGTAGAGCCATTGGCCAGATACAGTGACTTAAAGGAAGGGTGGAGGGCTAGCTCTGAACAATATTGTTAGTCAGCTAGCTAGTTGCAGACACTACTACACTAGCCCTCTTCTGACTCACCCTGAAATAGAATATAAAACTTCTAGCTTGACTGGGTCAGCCAAAGTCATTCGGGCAAGCTTAGCTTTACTTTTCCCAGAAGTACCAATGATGATTTCCTGGTTCTTCCCACTGGATGCTGTGTCTGCTTCTTCAAACTAACACTGGATGAAAATTCTAAGTCAGAGCTTATCAGTATCTTTAGTTGAAGGTCTTCCCTGATGTGGCAGACATCTCCTTTTTTCCGGTTTCCTAGCGTTTTCCCCTGGAAGCAAGTGGCCTTCCCCAACCATCTTATGATTCTTTCAGTGCTCAAGACCCACTTCTCAGAGAGCTTTCAACTTTTGATGCATCTTCTAGGAATGTGAAATACAGCTTTTCCTAGGAACCTTGAGGTTTAAATTCCAAGGAGCCGTGTGGATTCTGTTGCCAGGCAAAATTCCATTAATAATGATGTCAAGAAAGTATGATCAACTTCAGAGGTGGAGTGAGAAGGATTGGTGTCCTGGTGACATATGAGGGGAGTTACTGGATCTCACAACACCTGAAACTACAATATCCCTTGGATGAAAGATTTGTGTTGTTGTTGTTTGTTTGTTTTATTTTTAAACTGATTCCATTTTGCTTACTCCTTGAGTTAGAATTTTTTTCTCTTGCGACTGAAGATGTCCTGGGCCAAACACCGGTTATCTGAGAAATATGTGCACATGTGAGCATTCAATCACATTTTGGGCTCTGGTGATGAATGGCCTTTGTAAGTGGTCATCCTCACAGACCTGTCCTTCCCAAAGTCACCACTGTCCATGTTTCCATTTACACAGGATGAGAGACAGACTGGCAAAATATACCAGCGACAGTCTGCAGCCTGAGCCCATAGAGCCAGCCTGCTGAGAGCGCTCCCAGCATTGTCCTCTGCTCTAGAGCATGATGCAGTGTGATGTTTCTTAGGGACTCAGAGCCAGTGCTTTTCCAGTGAAAGCTGCAGGGAGATCACAGTGCAGACACTCCTGCTTCCCACTTCTCACTTAACTCTTCTACACACTGGGGAATGCGGAGGACTCCATGGAAGGGTATCTGTGTCATTCTTTGTAGACCTGTAGTCCTTTCTTTCTGGAACCCAGCACTGAGACTTAAAGAACCCTTTATTATCCTAGGGCAATGGTAGTAACTGGCATTTAAACAAATTGATTTTCAAAAATTATTCCACAAGATAATTTAAAGACTACTATTATTCTGGAGAAAACATCTTTGTCACAAATGTTACTTAACTAGAAAGATAATCAGTAATTGATGTTGAAATTCAGAATATAGATTCATGCTTGCTTAATCATCAGAGTTACCTGCACTTTTATGATTTTATTTTTTGATTCCTCTTTTGACTTGCGAAGGGGCATTCAAACACAGCTTCTATTTGGCTTATTTACAAAGTAATAAAGAAATGCTGTGGTAGAGATAGCTTGGAGAGATAATGCCCCTGGAATTGGGAATAATAGGCCTCCAATTGCTATAAAGGCTAACTAAATGGAGCCATTCATTTTCCAAACCTAAGGGATTTTTATCTGACAACACTCTGTATCTCTATTATTTTTTATTACGCCTTTTGATAAATGATAGGGATGCTACCTTTCTGGTCCATCGTCAAGAAAACCCTGAGAGATAGTTGCTCATTGTGTCATTTTCAAACAACAGTTTATGAGCTAGCTCAGAAAATTGACTTGTTTGTGTTTTATTCCTATAGGGTGATTGTCATGATTTTTCATTGACAGAAGGTCTCATATTCTTGTTGAATGGGAAGCTTTTCTTATCTTATCATCACTATCATTCTTATTACTGTTGGTGTCATTATTATCGTCACCAGAACAAACAGTTATGTAGTTATTTTAATGTACCAACTAGTACCTGAATTTGATAGATGCACACACATATATATCATGTGACATCTATATCTATCATATGACCTATATGTGATATGATATATATATGTGTATGTGTGTGTATAGCATACGTACCAAGTAAAGTAGGTATCCCTTATTAAAAATTGATAATATGCTAAGTACAAAGAAGCCACATTATTTGCTCAAGGTCACTCAACTAAGCTTTGATCAAAGTCTGGGTCCCAAATCTGTGCACTTAGCTGTTAGGTTTCTGCCAGATGAACACCATACTATGTGAAAGCCTATGATAGATGGTACACTGGAAGCTCAAAGTTGTCAGGTAGAAAATAAATACCACTAAACCTTATACCCTGCAGCTCCCTGTGCCAAGGGAAATGTGGCCATTATAAATGCCAGACTGTGAGATTCCTTCTTTTGGAGAGGAGGAGAGAGGGAGGTCTGAGTCTCTTTTCTCATGCCTAGAGAAACTCCAAAAATAATCATCTCACCAGGTATTCACTTACTGTGCAGCCAAGACGCAGGTTTTTAACCCATTCTGGTTCTTGGGGCCAAGGAAGAGCCTAGTATCTCCAGCAGATCTTTTAAGCTGTGCCCATGTGGCACCACAGATATCCCTCTAAATTTTTGCAAAGGGATGGAGCAAAAATTATTCTTATTCCATTCTAATAAAGGTACCCCTGTAGTCCCTCAGGAAGCTCCCTTCAGAAATGCAGGGGGCAGAAGTCTTGTCACTCATTTTAAGTGATAAAACCAACAACAACAGTAGAAGCAATGAGAAGTGATTGTCCAAGGTCACTTTGTATACTGGCCACTGGCAACGACATCCCTAAGCCAGGCTAACATTACAAAGTTGTGCTCCATAAGCACAGATTTCTTCATGGTCCTGCATTATTCTGACTCAGAAAGACAGCTGAGAGCTTGCCTTTTATGCCTGGCTGAGACACCTCACTTGTTCTAAGAGTACTGTGGCACTGGTTACTAATTTATTGTTCTTGGAACCAGTCTAACCCATAAGGGCTGCTTATGGCTAATTCCTTTACTCGGAGAAATAGGTGGTAATAGAAGAATTAACATCTTTGAACTCTATATGCCTACCCTGATAAGGAAGAAATATGTATCCCAAAGTTTAGATCAAATCTATATGCCCCAGGTCTCCTTCTGGGACTTGCTGACCTTCTGAAAGTGGAGACCCAGCCAAAGAAAAGAAGAATTTCAGGTCTGCATAGGCCTAGCTACATGGGGGTTCTGAGAGAGAATAAGGGGCAGGTCAGAAGGTGGGTGTGAGGGGTGCTGGACTGACTCAAATGGGGTGACAATCCAGAGAGAAATGGGCAACACTAGATGTGACATCTACTAAAACTTTGAATTGCTTTGTAGTGACAAACCCGTCTTGGCCTGGAGTTTGATCTATTTGGGTGCAAGCCTCTTCTGAGTGGAGAGAAGGAAGAGGAAAGTTGACCGTTTCCTTGGAGTCCATCAGAGACACCAAGTTGGACGAAGAAGAGCTCTTCCACAGGCATGGACACTTTGAGGCCATGTGCATACACAGTGAGGCTTCTTTCTCTCACTTTGGTTCTTTCCTTGGTCTTTGGCTTTGCACTGCCAGGTGCATGACCTCCTTTCATCCTTATGTGGCTGCCACGGAGAGATTGTTAATCTAGGGGTCAAGTGCTGTCCTCTTTGTCCTCTTTTTGGTTTCACACCCAGCAGGAAATCTGGAAGAATTACTAATTGGTCCAGTGCTCTGGAATTGGACTTGGCCAAGCCTCAATTGCCCCTTTCTCTGCCTGGTATCTGGCCATGACCTTCAGGGTGAACTGATCAAAATGGCTGTAGTGATTGTAGACAGATGCAGGGATTTGCTAATGTGCATTTCTTTCTATGTATTTCTCTTTATGATCAACACCAAATATGTTGCTGCTAGTGAAAGATTTATAGAGGAACAGGGGACAAACTCAAAATCATTCTTTCTAAAGCTACAGTCACTCAGAAACAGTAGAAGGGAGATTTTCAGGGTATACAGAGCTTAATTACAGTCCTATAAACCAAAAGCATTTTTTTTAAAAGACATTTTCTTTGGTTTTTCTTTGAGAAGCTACCAAATACCATGGTATGGATGGGTGGCATTAATACTGTGTAAGAGTTGAAATGTATATCAAATTTATAGTGTCATTTTCCCTGGCAAAATAAAAGCATTTTAGAGCACTTTATTCTCCCAAATGCACATTTACTCACTTGTTCTCATTTGTGGGATCATATCGGGGAAATGGATCATGGTCATTATCGTTGAAATCATAGCTAGCTTCTGGATCCTAAAGAGACAACAGAAATGCTGCTGTGGCACCATTTTTAAAAAGCAACACAACCTAGATTCTACCCCTATCCCCTTCCATCCTGGTCGTTGGCTGAAAAGCCTGTGATTTGAAGTTTCTGGCCTCAGCACTGTGTATTTATTATAGTACATGTCAAGCAGACATGATGAACACAGCAAAATGAGCCAGCTTGCCATGGCACGCTCCCAGACCTACTGTCCCTGGGCACTCTGAGGATGGCCGCACTGGGCAGAGTTCAATCAGCATGGTTTTCAGATGAGAAAGATGAGGTCCTGGATGCCGAATGGCTTCGCTGAGGGAGCACAGCTACTTGGGCACTCTCTGATACTCAAGTGTCTTTGAATATAGATGCAATGATGTGGTTGGAGGATGGAATGCAGATCCCTGGCAGGCTCGTCCATTCTCCCCAGGTACATGAAATAAACATGTCATTTCATTCAAGAGAGTGTGTCTGAATGTCAAGACAACCTTCCAAGACCCTCCCTTCCCCAGTCAGCTTGCTGTCCCACAGTCTCTGCTACAGAGGGATGCTACCACCATTGCCACTACCTCTCCTTAGGTTTCTGTAATTCCTGCCTCCTACACTTTGCTGTGCTTCCTCATCTCCTCTTTCACTCTTTACCTTGCAGTTAGGAACAGTGAATGGGTGGAAAGATGAAATGATTAGGGACGATCTTAAAGAGTGTCTACCACACTGGACTAAAATCCTACAATATTACTGAGAGTCTGTGTTATGCTATGGACTTCTTGAACAATTATGCAGGTCATTTTCATTTATTTTCTCATTGCAAGCAGAATTTTCTTTCTCAGCTTAGTGTTACTTTTCATAATATGGTATTTACATTGAATTTTTGCATCACTTAACTTCACAATATCAGAGAAACTGAACCTGAAGGGATGTGAAGAAAAAGGCCATGGCAATGACCTCAGGTGTGGGGCTCGGTTTGGATGGTTCAAGGCCCCCCAAACACTGAGTGGCTCATGATTTTTTCATGATTTAAATCGTGCAGGAACCCCTACCCCTTCTTTGTGTATCTACATAAATAACTCTCTGCGGATTGGTCATGGGAGGGCCCTGACTCACGTAATTGGCATAAATGTCTGTATGGTTCCACTCCAGGCCGTCATCCAGGACAGTGATCACAACTCCTTTGCCTGTAATGCCTTTTTGCCAAACAGGTATCACATGGAGATCCAGCTTGGGCAGGGCTGCAGTCATCCTAGTGTCTTGCTGGTTAAGACAAAAACAAAGAAGCATTGGTACAGTCATGATTTGCTGGCTACAGAATGGGAACTTGAGCTTCAAGCTAGAGACTCGGCTTTCTTCCCCTTAGGTCACTCTACTGTTTAGAAAAAGGCAGTGAGATGAAATGTTTTTAAAAAGTAGAGGGTAGGACTAAATGAATCATCAGAGTTCTGTTCTCCCAATATTCCAATGGGGCATCTCTTGGAGGGATGAATCACCCAGGGTCACTTCCTTTTGAAACTTTGAAGAGGCTTCTTTCATTCGTATTAATATGATCAAGATCCTCATCAACTGGCGATATACTTGATGTCTTATATTTCCGTCCCCGAGCTTATGTTGCCACATTGAACTTACATTCTGACATCTGGGGCACAGACAAAAGTATATGTTTTCTAAGTTTTCTTCACCAAAAAAATGCAGAATCTGGATGGCTCAGAAGACTGGGGTTTCCACAAGAATTGTAATTTGTCTGTTTTCCACAGGGTCTGTGAGAGGAGATATGGGTTTGTTTTTTGGATGATTTTTTTTTTGAGGGTTGTAGTGTGGGAGATTGAGTGAGCGAAGAGTTGGGTAGCAAGAAGACATGAATCTAAGTGTATTTGCAGGTACCTGGAAGGCCTAGAGGAGACTGCCAGATGCCTGGGGAAGGGGTCAGTAAGAAATAGGTAAGTTACAACCACCACGTGTCAGTCAGTGAATGGGCTGCCCCCTTGTCAATGCTCTTCAGACAGAGGTGCAACAACTGGAATGGGGGTGTCTGCTGGGGGAAGCTGTTAGAGCAACATGAAGCTGAGTGACAGGTGTGCTTAGGAAGAAGGTGTCTGTGTCAACTGCAGGTGCAATTATGGAGCACGGCCTGTGGAGCAAGGAATCATGATCCCACCACTAGGGACCCTTTGATTGTGGCAAACTGACTGGCCAGGGTCTCTGCTCTCTCATCTGTGAAATGGGCATCATAGCTGAATCTAAACATAAGGTCATTGTGAAAACTCAATGAGCCGGTTTGTGTCAAACACACAATAATAGCATTGGCCACAAAGTAAATGCACAACAGGGGCAGGGAAGAAGGCTTATCTGTTGCAATGTGCAGTGGCTGCCTAGGTGACCAGAATGGCAAGAGAAGCTAATCCTATTTCCCACGCATTATGCAGTAACAGCGTCTAAGCCTTCACTTATGGTTGTCATGTGAAAAATTACCTTTTGTAATATTCTCCACAACAAATACTTCTATTAACTTGTATTGCTGCTGTAGAGGCTTAACATAAAACAGAGAAGAGCCTGCAGGCACCAACACTTAACAAGTCTAGACATTTGCAAATAGGCTTGCCTTTTTTGCTTTTGCCTCATTTGGGGATCCTCACCTGTGGCATGTAAGAACTGGGCCACCTACATTAAAGCAAGATCATTGCACTCTGTGTGTGGCTTAGAGGGGTCTAGTGAGCAATTGGAACCAAGAGTGAGGTTTTTATTACATGGATTGTTTTTGAAACCTCTAACTTGGCCAAGTATGGCTCTCTTATGCTTATATCCACTAAGTTTATGAGGATAAAATGATGACAATCCCTCCTCTCCTGGGTTCCAGTCTCACTCACCCAGCAAGATTGAAGATCCCAATCACACCAGATGCCTTATGACAAAGCGCCCATCGTGCAGTGGATCTGGCAGTACTTACCAGGTACCACTGCTGATTCCACATGGGGTCATTGAAGAGGTTCAGTGCAGAGTCTCCTGGAGCTGAACGTTTGCTTCTCTCTTTTTCATACTGTTGTTCGGCCCAGATCACCTACATGGAGTTCCATAGTGAGAAATTTACAACTCTGGTAGATATCTCTGGGGAATAATCTTCGCTCTCTCTCCTGTGCAGTTCTCATCAGAATTCAGGAAGCTCCACAATATCTCCATTTGACCGTAGATCAAACTGGCAGCTCAGGGCAAAGGGTTTGCCTACTGGGGTAGGGGGGTTGAACATTCCCACTGTTACAGTAAAATGGACCTTTAGCGGGGAGGAGAAACCGTCAGAGAAGTGATGATTCCCTGAAATTATTTACACTGTGGTTACAGTGCAGGTAAAAATTTAGCATGCTCTTATCAGCAAATAGACCATAATACCTATATTTTCTTTTTTTTTAATTTTTTTAAATTTCTGTTCCAGTACTCTGTAGCCAAATGCTTGTGCCTTTTCATAGAATGAGTCAATAAGGTAGGGTGGAGATTGTCACAGTGGGGCTCTTACAGCTTAATTTCCCGTCCTTTACAAGTGTAAGGAAGAAATTGCAAATGTAACTCGAGATGACACTGGTGCTGTGCCTTTGCAAATTTGAATCTGTTTCAAACCTCTGCTTCAGAGTACTTACTACGAGAAACCAATCTGAGGTGATGAATGAGCATCACTGACCAGGCACACTCGCACTGTTAATTCAGTCTCATGCATTATGCAAAGACATCTGACAATGTGAAAATTACCTGCCTCACATGTATGGCATAATCCTGTTACGGGATTGAGGCCCCCCAGAGACTGAGGGGGCTGTGTTGTAATCTTGATAACTGTGAAACAATGTTATACTATTATTTGTGGGGGGGGGGAGGGCACCACAGGACTATTTTCTAGAGCAAATAGATCTTTTCTTTTGATTACAGTCCAGTATGTGCTGGGATTTTATTAACATGAGTATCTTTATGAGTCAGATCTAAAATTAAAAACAAAAATAAATGGTAACTAAAACTATCCACCATGACTGTCCTGAATTTTCAATGAGAAAATACACGGCAAGCCTGTTAATAAACATTGGGAGGGACTTGGAGCTGGATATTAGTCACTATCATTTATTTTTAATGTCCTTGTATTTTTCAAGTGTAATTGTTTTGGCTTAAAATACCTTGATGCTTAGAATACACAGTGCGTCATCGTCGGTCTTTGGAAGGTGGCTGAAAAAGGGGGACAATTACCAATCTTTGGAAGAGGGGGTCAACTGCAATTGCAGATTTCATTAGTGAATTTATAAAGATGGGACAATTGCCACTGTACTTCCCAGGGCTCATTTGCAAGAGTATTATCCCCATCAAAGAAGAGTGATTAAAATCAAGAGCAATGTTTTAAAAATGGAATATAAGAAGAGGCACTCTGCCATCTGATTAGAGAAATATCCAGTTGGAGAAAGCCATGTTATGATTAAAGTCATCAACACAAAATTACGTATTAATCTATAAAACAGCAGACTAAATGGGAGTGAGAGATCGGTGGTGTCTCTCTTTCATGTGTACAATAATGCTGATGTAATGAACTGCAAATAATGTTTTGGTCTGGAAAGAGCATGAAGGTCATCTACTCCAACTTCCCCCTTCAGGCTTCTATGTTTTCAGGATTTTTAAAAACTAAAATTATTCTGAGGTTAACTTCTCATAGGATTACATTACTCCTCTTTAATGGAGTTAGGATGGAGAATAAATTCTTAGCTCTTCTGTTGTTGTTGTTGTTATGCCTGGTGATTCCTGTCATTAGAAAGCTACATAGAGAAAAGCACTGGACCATCTCTTCATTTTCATGATATTCTTTGAGTAAGAATAGCAATGAAGTATGCTCCACTCTGTCCACTTTCCTCCAGGGAAGATGAGAAGAAAAGTTAGTTTGACTTTCCCTTGTGCATTAGCACTGGGCATACATTTAGGCAGAGAAGCAAGTTTTGCCATTGTCTTTCCTGAACATTAAAACTTGCTAGTGTTGGAAGTTGTTCTGCCTTTGAAAGCCCATGCTCAATGGGCTATCTGCCTTGGGTGGTTAACTGAAGTGATCACTGGACAACATGATTTTAAAAATAAATTTTAGAAAAAGTGGTTTACTCTCCCACATATGGGCATAACTTAATACAATGGATATAAAGCGAGTGGTGGCTTCCCTATCTGTAGTCCTGATACAATGTGTGTCTCCCCAAGGCCTGGCACTTACACATTTGCACGGTGGTGACCAAGACCAAATCATTCTCTACACTCACCATTTGATTTATTTTAATCCTTCTATTGGTTGCAAAATACAAAGGATGCAAATTCCTTAACAGGCTTTATGTATTCTATACATGTTCTTAAGATTTATTTGTTTATTTTAAAAGCAGAGTTATATAGACAGAAGAGAATAGACAGAAAGATTCTCTATCCCCAAGTGGCCATAATGGCTGGGGCTGGGCCAGGACCATCCTTTGTTGCTCTCCTAGGCACATTAGCAGAGAGTTGGATCAGAAGTGGAGCAACTGGGACTTGAAGTGGCACACATAGGGGATGCTGGCATGGCAAGCAGTGGATTAACCTGCTATAACATAGCATAGGCCCCAAACTCTGTATACTTTCAAAAGTTCTACAATCTTTCTCTCACATTTTTTAATGTGAAGTGAAGTGGATGTTTTCAATCTCTCACCAAAAGGATGTTTTCCATTTATCACAGTAATTCCCAGGGTATTTAAGGCAACAGAAATCATGTCCAAAAACATCAGGATAAACAGTATAAACTTCTCACTATGACAAGGTAATATAAAGCAACAAATTGTATGTAGAAATTTCAGTGCTCCTAATTTAGCCAATAGCTTATAGCAATCGATTTGCTGTTCATATAAATAGGCTTCTGAAATCAAGAAGTAAATGAAATAAATATATTCAAATTGTTCCTGCCCTAGTAGGTATGTTCACTGTAGATATTTCCTGCAATCTTCTAATCATCAAATCTGAATACAAACCACTGCAAAAAGAGATTAAATGGTTTGGATCAAGAATGTGAAAGTTATGGAAACCTTTGGCGCGCAAGAATATGAATTTACGGCTCTTTCATATACACTAGTTTACTATATAGCAAAACCAAATAAGGTTCATAGAATATTTTCAATTGTACTCAAATATTATGGAAAGGGTCATATTTTTTGGCATCTCCATATTGGTACTAAATTATTTAGAACATGGTAGGCATATGATACAAGGTTTTGACTGGGGCCAGTCTTGTGGCATAGCAAGTAAAACTACTATCTGGGATACCAGCATCCTAGAAGGGTACCTGTCTGTGTTCCACCTGCTGCACTTATGATCCGGGCCTGGCCCTGCCCTTACTGTTGCAGTCATCTGGAGAGTGAGCCAATGAATGGAAGATTGCTGCTGTCTCCCTCTCTCTCCCTAATTCTGATTTTCAAATAATAAATCTTTTTACACAATTGTTTAATGGTTCCGTCAAAATGTTTTCCTAATGCTGTTACCTGAATTTCAGCCCTCAATTTCATGTTTTTAGATTTGTGAAAAAGCATATATAATAAGCTTTATAGATATAGCAAACATTATATATAATTTAAGTGCATATTTATAGCCAGCTCAATATAATTCAATGTTATTATTATGCATAATTATCCTATAGGAAGAAACTGGAAATATTACAGTTGAACAGCCATCATCACAATAAAAAATTCATTTGCTCCTATTAGGTATCATAAAGGAGGTAGATAAATCAAGGTATTGATTTGAATGTACCATAAATTCTTACCCGGTCATCATCAGATAATCTCTTAGTAATATGAAGGGCACTCCTTCTGGACCTTCGGGGGTGTGTTTTATGTCTGAACAGATAGTGATTTTCAAGTGATCCAATCTATAATGGAGAAAATTAATATTAAAATTTACTTTCTCAAATGAATGTATGTGGTGCAGTTTGAAACCAAACTAATATAGACATAAGCAACCTTTGTTTAGTCCATTCCCTGTACCTGAAGTTGACCTTTTTCTTCGTGAGGAAGGCATTAGTAGAGATTTTATGATGACCTGAAGGAAATTACTGCTTGGGCTCACAGTCATTTCAGGGAGACTACATTTGTTTGTGTGTGTGTGTGTGTGTGTGTGTGTGTGTGTGTGTGTGTGTGTGTGTGTGACAATATTGTGGATCTAGGCATTTCTCAAGATGATGCCTGTTTCATCAAATGTATTATGTCAGAAAACAATCATTGCTGAAAGGCAAACAAACCCCTTGGGCACTATCTATGATCAGCTAAAGCAATCTGTTGCTGCTATAAAATGCAGGCCTTCACACCAAAAGGAAGATTGCTATTACTTACTGTTTGTGACCATTGGATTTTCCACCAGTTCCAGGCTTTCAAGAAAGATCTTCCTGTGTTTACAATAGATGCTCCACCTTCGAGTGTATGCTTCTCTGAATGGCTATCCATATCTTTGGTCTATTTAGAACTGCATTCTTTATTATTTTCAGCTGATGTCCCATTGCACAATTCTTGAAGCTATTGGCTCCTCCAGATAATCAGTGTATTTTTAATTAACAATCAACTGCAGTTTGTTTCAGAAGGGTATTCTTTCAACTGGTGGTTCTCATCTCTTAGAGAAGTTTCTGATAGAGATGCTTAGGCCCTGAACCCAGCCTTGAACCTCAGACAGTTGCTCCTCTACAAGTTGCAGATGGATGTGGGAAGAAACATCAGCCAGGAATGGTGGGGAAAGATCATTCATTATCCACTCTATTTGTGCTGTCAACTGGCTTTGCTTCTGTCACTGAATCAGGGCTTTATCCTGAGGTTATAAGTGACCTAGGTTGGTAATGCTAAATGTGTATATTTAAGCAATTTAAATCAACAAAGGGGACACTAAGCGGAACAGGAAAATAGTATTAGTCTTTATAAAGACCAGCTATGCTCAAAACTTGTTAGCAGTGCCACTGTCACTAGAAATAGCTAAAGGAAATAGAGCATTGCAAATCCTATGTAAATAGAGTTGGGTTTTCTTTGCTATTTTTAGTGGCTATTGTGACTGGTTCCATCTCCAGCCCCTTAGCTTCTCCCAAGGATTCTGAAACTTTTTGTTTGTTTTTACTTTCTGGATTTCATTTGTTGGAAAAGCAGTCCTCACATTAAAATGGTCCAAGTTTGAGTTTGTGTCTGGAGTGAAGAAATGAGAAAATAAAGGAGAGGGTTGTTTTTGATTTGCTCCCCAATTACTTTCTGTAGGATTAGCAGTCCTAGTTAGTCTTTCAGTAGCTGTCCAAGGTGCATAGATTTAATCCCCCAGCGTTTGCCACCCTGCATGCCAGTAAGGCATACAAGCTCTACATGATTCCCACTGCACCTGCCGGAATAACCCCAGCTGCAGTTCTCTTTTGGTTCTGCAAATCCCCAAGAACTGCATGCAGTTAATAGACTGGATAGTAAGCTGTTTCATGTCGCCTGGTTTTTCCACAGCTAAATCCTAACCTTCAGGGCCCTCTCCAATCTTACCTTCGTTCCTGGCAACCTTTGGCTTTCCTTCCTGAACCTCGAGCCTTTTCTCCCTTTGTCTTCTCCTTTCACTCTTCCCAATGTCCTTGTTCCTTTTCCCTTTTCAGTCAATAGATATCCAAACACAACAGACTCCAAGCACAACTCCAATTACTACATAAATCACAAGCACTTGTTACAATCGCCAGTCTCCTTCACTTCCTCAATTGCCCTGGGAACCTTCCTCTGCCCCAGCCCCTCACTCCAAGCCTGCCAGAGAGCTGGGGCTGTGTACAAGCAAAATCCTGGGTCGGCCTCTGGGATGTTGGGAACTTAATCTTTGGACTCACAAAATTGGAAAATGCAGCCTCCAGCAAGAGGAGGCGTATTCCCCAGTGGATTCGATCTATGGAATCGCCAACGCCCACGGCTGATTACTCATCCATGACTTCAGCTTAGCGCAACCACCCCCTCCAGAGAAAACGCGCCAAAATGTTTTACAACTCCCTCCTCCCCCGCTTCAATGCAGATCAACTTCTAAGGCAAGGCTTGTGAGTCAAGGAAAAGGAAAGCTTTAGATTGGAAGTCACATTCCCTGGGGCCTCCCACAGAACACAAGGCTAAGCAGACTCCCCAAACAGAGCGCCCCTGCCAGCCACCTGCTTGCTGGGGCTATCTGCTAATCCCCAGCTGGGCAAGCTACTGCTTCCACTCTAAGCCGATCCCTCCTGGGAATTGATTACGCATTTTAGTGAGGCACCAGAAAAAAGAAAAAGGTTCCTTTACCAGCCAGTTTGGCAGCCTGATCCTGCAGGGGCCTTGGGCAAGCAAAGTTAACAAGCTCGGACTTTCCAAGTTCCTAGAGACAACCCTGAGCTCCCCGAAAATCCATAGAAATGGTCCCTCGCCTTTTACCCACCTTGTCTCCTTTCAGTTTCCCAGGCCACTCCGGCAGTCCCGCGATCTCAGGACCTCAAGCCCTTGCAGCTGGCACTCTCCCAACACCCAGGACGTGCCCCCAGCCGCTCGGGCGAACCTCCCCAAGCTAGCTTAGCCCCTTGCTGCAAGACCTGGATCGGCTGCTGCCATATTGAAAAGGAAACAGCCAGCTCCTGACGCAGGCCACCAGAGTAGTCCCAGGGGTTGGCGCGCCTTGCCTCTCCCCGGGTGCCTGGTTGGTGAGAGTGCGTGCATCTCAAGTTCCCTAAACAAGCGTGAAGCATTTCTCTTGGAAACCGCGCGGGAAAATATTTCAATCCTAGGGCCAACAGCAGCAAAGAACCGGCTCTCCCCAGCTGCAGTGGCTTCCTTCTGCCTGGTTGCACTCAGCCCAAACAGTAAATAATGCAAGGTTTCTCTGCTTCCCTGCGCGCCAGGGACAACAGCTGGAGAAGCGCCTAGCTCTTGGCCACGCTGCGCGCAGGGGTGAGCATCCTACTTGAGAGACTGTGCTCCCCCGTCCCTGCGGCTGATCCCTTGAGTCCCCAAAAGTTTCTGGAAAGTGCAAACTCTTACCTGACCCAAGAGGTCATAGCCCAGTTCCTCTGCGATGGCTGAGGCTGCCTCCGGACCCCCGGGGATCTCTGCCGCCCATTCATTGACAAACTGCCTCTTGGCTCCTACACTATTCAGCGCACACCAAGCGCAAAGGAAGGCGAGAGCTGTCCGCTGCAGAGTCCACGCTCTTCCCTTCATGGCTCACAGCACTCGCCAGCACCCAAGTGAGAAGGAGGAGGGAAAAGAAGTCGGAGAGGAGAAAAGCCAGACAGACTCGCCCTTCCCACCCTTGGGTTCCGGACCACTCCTAGCTCCCGGTTGCTCTGCTAAGAGCTGGGAGGAGAGGCAAAGCTGGGCGGCGGCGAGCGCTCACTGAAGCGCTTCGGTCTCCAGGCTGAGCTGAGTGGAGCCCCAGCCCTTCCCCGGCAGAATGGAAATAGTGTTTACACGTCAAATCGACGAAAGCCATCTCTTGACGTCAGATCTACCTGGACTGAGATCTAGATGGCATTCCCGGCGGGGTGGAGACACGGCTAAAATAAGCAGCGAGGGATTAGGAAAAGGAAGGAAGGACTGGTTTGCTGGCATCGGTGGAGCCTGTTCCCTGCCGACCCATAAATTCTGTAGCGGGGAGAAGCATCACTTCTCCAAAGAGAATCGTTCATTCGAATGTAATTACCAAGAGCCAATGCTGCAGGTGTGACTCCTCTTCACTCCCTCCCATCCACTCCTCTTGTTTGTTTTTACTTTATTTCGCTTGCATATGTTTGGAGGAAGAAAGAGTTGGGGTAGGACTGGGCTGAGGGCTCTTTGGCTATCAACAGCTACTGTGAACAACCTGCCTCAAGTCGGGTAGAGGCTGGCTGGCTGGCCCATGGAAGTGGAGACGCTAAGGCTCACACATTTTATTCTAAACTGCCAAGGAAAATGAGCACATCTTCAAGATAGTGTTAGTGCAATATCTTAATAATAAAATATACACTGTTCAAACCATGCTAGTTTACAAGCCTATTTCCTGGAGCACCTAGCAGTACCTCTGCCACCTTTCCAGTGTGCATCAGAAAAATGATAATCCACGTGGTGTTTTAAAACAGAAAAGCACTTTTCTTTATCATCAAGGGTCCCACGTGCTGTTGTGTTGACTCAAGGAGGGGAAGGAGGTTTCACCAACACTGAACCAAAGTATTCACGACTTCCCCCATAAAACGCAGTCTTTCTGAGGAAGAATGCTTTGCAGTGTGAAGAGAACAAAGCAGACATCTACGTGAAGCCCTGCTTCTTCGTGCAAGGGAAATTGAACGCAATTTTCCGTGACGAAGCAGGTTTGGATCCTGAGAGATTGGACTTGCAGGGAGCTAACCATAGTGTGTTGAATTCAGCACCAAGTTCTGGACAGCGGCGCGCGCGGGTGCGTTACTGCAGCTCTGCTGCCCTCCTTAAGAGTCCAGCACCACGCTGTTTCTCTTTTGATTTGAGCGATCCCTTTCTTTTTTGAATAGCAACATAGGCCACTGATTTCAGAGGAGACTATAGTTAGGTTCATGATCATGACTACTTTTGTCTTGCACGCGATAATGCGTTAGAGTCAGCCCCAAAGTGAAATTTGCTGAGAAAACGACCAAATACTATGCATTTTAGAAAGGGATTCTTTTTCTCTTTTAAAGCTCCCAACCGCTGGAGGGCGCAATTTATTTCAGAAGAAGGGAAGAAAAGGGAGAAGACTCTGTGTGTGTGTGTGTGTGTGTGTGTGTGTGTGTGTGTGTGTGTGTGTGTGTGTGTAGAAAGGAAATAAGACCTGCTCTTGTTTCCTTTTCAGTTGAAACAAGACTTGATGGAGGATGGGGCTGAGGAGTGCCAGCTTTGTCTGTGTACTTACAGAAATGTGTCCCAGATTGCTAATTTCTTTACAGACACTACGTCTTTAAATGCCAATGTTAATCAGACGTGCGATGAAGCAGTGAGCTCTTTCCCAGTAACCCAATTCTCCTGTGAGATGCTGCAGAATGAGCTCAGCTTGGTAGCTCAGTGAGCTCTGTATATCTGCTGTGTGAGTGCGGATGGCTGCGTGAGCTGTCATTTTGTCTTCACGCCTCAGCCCGAGTTGTGGCCTCAAGCTCTATAGGGTGTTTCATTCTCACAGCAGACAGATGCTAACCGTGCCCCAGCAAAGCGGGAGGAACCTGTGGTGAATGTTTAATAATAGTATATGAGCTTAGAGCAGGAGAGAGCGTGTTCCCTTCTTGTTATTGTTCAAATAAATCAGTTTGGCAGAGTGTTGGCCAGAAGTTGGTATCTCATTAATGAAGCATTTGCCTTAAATAGAAAGGCAAACAAGTCTGGAATAAACACTTACTTTGGATACTTGATAGGACAAGCTAATTTCTTACAGAAAGATGATATTTCCCATAACCGTAGGTAGATGGATGGACGGGTAGGTGAGTGGGAGAAACAATAGATATTCCGTTCTCTGTTCTAACATTGTCTGATTCTTATCCTGTGGATCTTATTTGCTTCAACTTCAAAGATGCAGAAGAAACACATTTTCCAAAAGGCAAGGGTAATCAATGAATTTAGAATTCATCTTCACTTTCTCATATCTATGGCTAGTTCTCTTCCTTCTTGAGCATGCTCTTGTGTTCCAGCCCATCACTACTGGGTTTTACATCAAAATCTATCACAAAAGAACATGAGTAATCGTGAACGTGAAGTAAAAATGCCTTTTTAGCCCTACAGATTAATTTCCCTATACTTTTCAAAAAAAAAAAAGTAACTTTGGTTTAACAATTTACACCTATCAAGTGAACTTGTCTGCTGGATGTAATAGAAACCATTAACATGAAAATGTAGTTAACATGTCTGCAATTAAATTAGAAGGTATTTTATAGCAGTTCATATGAGTGAATTCTTAATTAGTTCAAGGAAAATAGAAATTATGAAAAGAATAACTTTTTGATTTTCGTGCCAAGATCTTTTAGTACCATTTAACCACCAACTCTTTTAAGAACGCTTATATTATAGAGACAAAATTGTCCATTGCTGTGTTTTCCAACATAAAAAGTAATAAAATTTCTCTTTTTTAATGATTTATTTATTTTTATTGCAAAGTCAGATATACAGAGAGAAGGAGAGACAGAGAGAAAGATCTTCTGTCTGATGATTCACTCCCCAAGTGAACGCATCAGCTGGAGCTGTGCCAATCCAATCCAAAGCCAGGAGCCAGGAGCTCTTCCAGGTCTCCCACATGGGTGCAGGGTCCCAAGGCTTTGAGTCATCCTCGACTGCTTTCCCAGGCTCCCAAGCAGGCAGCTGGATGGGAAGTGAGGCCGCCAGGATTACAACTGGTGCCCCCGGCGTGTTCAAGGCAAGGACTTTAGCTGCTAGGCCACTGCGCCGGGCCCAAGTAATAAAACTTCTATGACACACTGGCATTAATTAGAGGAAATTTGGGGACACCTGTATGGAGCTTGATGAAAACATGTTCTATATTTTATAGGACATAAGAATGATACAGCACAACAATTGGGGCAAAAATATTAGAAGTGACTCTAGGTAATTTAAAACTGAAAACCATGAATAAACTTCCATCAGAATAATTTTCCATTTCAAGCTTTATGCTGGAAAAATTATTTAACACTTCTAATAAAGCGTTTTAGTGACATGGGAATTTTCTTTTGCACACATAGTGTGAAAATTTTGAAACCATTCTATAGCCAGTCAGAAATTTGGAAATTTGAAATAGAAATAGAAATATTGTCCCAGCTCCTCCTTTTATTTCCGGGCTGAATTTGCCATTGGAATTAAATATGAGGATGCATAAAAATTTAGAATCCACCTAAATTTTTCTATGACAGCTAGTATAGAATACTTAAAAGTTCACATCGAAAAATTCATATGTCATTTAGAAAGATTGTGTGTGCCAGCTTCACCCACAGAAGATGGACATTGAACCACCGCCTGCAGATGCATCCGACTAGTGCGCTCATGAGCTTTCTTCCCGTGACTAAATTGCAGTGAGCATGCTGTATTCAATAAATACTTATGCTCTGAACTTTTCCAGCAAGTCCAAAGACACTTCCCTGTGATGGAAGGCATATACCAGTAAGCAGGTTCAAACATTAATATCAAAATGTAGCTGTGTTGTCGTGAGGGACAGATTGAACTGTCAAGTTGGGAAGTTGTTCTGTAGACGTAGAGATATGAGAATAACAAAGTCTGTACACTGAATGACTGAGGAGGAATAGCTGTGAAGGAATGTTGCTGAATGAAGTAGATCAGCATTTAAAATCTTGAATATAGCATTGAGTTCAGTAACTAAAAAATGAAGTAATGTGTACTATTAATCCCAATGGTTGAGCGTGGTTGGTCCCTCCTAATGAAAATGATTAAGTATAATTTCATACATGTATTTGGAAATGATTCTCTTTTTTTATTTTGAAACAAGTTCTTTTTAAATGCGAGAGAGGATTTGGGAGTGTTCCACTTCCTGGCGAAGGTGCTGTTTCCTTGCTGCCCAGAATTTGTTCATTTTCATATGGAAAACCTGGTATGTGACTGTTTTCTTTGCTCCTCACGTTTGTTTTTCTCTGAGAATTATGAGAACTATTGAAGAGTGATCCTGAATGCTGTCTAGCTTCTTGATTCTCAAAGATGAATTCATAGACCAGCATTATGGATATCCTGTAGGACCCCATAACCACTAAACCTGAATCCATGTTTACAGTGAACCTCTGGCGATTTGTATGGCATGAAGCTTTGAGAAGCACCTATTTAAGTAACTCCTCTTTATATATATATAAATGTATATATAAATGTATATATATATTTATATATACAAATGTATATATATATTTATATATACATTCCTCTGACCTTCCCTCATCTATATTCAGCCAAGCATGCTAATTTTGCCATGTAATATTTCACTAACAAGTCTCAAGCTCTTCCCCGTATAAACACAATTTTACGAAGAGATTAACCAGAGCGCCGTGCTGTAGCCAAGTGGTTGAAGTTCTCTCTTTGCATGTGCCAGGGTCCCATGTGGGCTCTGATTCGTGCCCTGGCAGCATTGCTTCCCATCCAGCTTTCTGCTTGTGGCCTAGGAGGGCAGTGGAGAATGGCCGAGGGCCTTGAGGTCTGTACTCGCCTGGGATACCCAAAGGAGGCTCCTGGCTCCTGGCTCCTGGCTTTGGATCCTGGCTTAGCTCCAGCCATTTGGCTCAAGCCACTCACTTAGGGAGTGAATCAGTGAATGGAGGATCTTTCTCTCTGTCTCCTCCTCTTTGTATATCTACTTTTCTAATAAAAATAAATAAAATTTTA